GTTGCGCTACTTGTGCAGTACGTCGGGCATGGGGCTAGTGCTTGGAGGGCGCAGTCCAGTCGTCCTCACTGGGCACGCAGACGCTTCCTGGGCTGACGACCAGGCTACACAGCGGTCGTCACAGGGTTACACCTTCAGCCTTGGTTCCGGCTCTGTCTCGTGGCGGGCTACTCGCTCGTCTTCTGTTCTCAGCTCCAGTTGTGAGGCTGAGATCTACGTCGGGGCCATGGTTGCACAGGAGCTTCGTTGGCTCACCTACCTGCTGATCGACCATGGAGAGCCGCCTCGTTCTCCTCCAGTTTTGTACGTAGACAACAAGGCCATGCTGGCCTTGTGTCGAGAGCAGCGATTGGAGCACAGAACGAAGCACATTGCTCTCCGCTACTTCCTTGCTCGTGAGCTACAGCAGCGTGGACAGTTGCGTCTTGCGTACGTGGCCTCTGAGGCCAACACTGCTGATGTTTTCACCAAGGCACTTGCGCCCTGTGATCATCAGCGCTTCTGCACTCAGCTCAGTATTGTCCCTGTCTTGCCTCACTTGCTCACCTCTTGACCTTGCTTGTACTGTTACATATATATATACCTGCTCTTGCTTGTCTAGCTTTATATATATATGTACTCCTGCATGTGAACTGGCCTTGTGGCCTTGAACTTGTGCTCGGAATGTGTGGTGACTTTGTGATCCACCCTGAGCTTGCTTTGCTTTCCTTTGCTTTACTGGTCTTGTGACCCCTTGTTCTCCCCCATTTTGCCTATGGGGGTGTGTCAGAACATTATAGCTTCTGCTTTTGTGTAGGCTATAGTGGGGTATCCCATAGGGGGTACAACCCAATTAGGGTTAGTACTTATACCCAGTTCATTCATAGTTCATTCATGCTCGTTCATACTTTCTCAGTGAGAACAACTGCAGTAGTGTTACTACTTGCTAGAGCTGTTGACCAATGTACAGCACCAGGTGGGCTCGTCTCCTACATGTCAGGTGATGAAGAGCTCGCGAAAAAGAAAGGCGGGTCAATTGCAACTGATTCCACTGCCCGAGCGCGCTTAACAGCAGGTTACCATGGATTTTGTTACGGGGTTACCTTTGAACCCTGGGGTAAGAACGCAATTATGGTCGTCGTTGACAGACTGACGAAAATGGATCACTTCGATGTGTACAGGAGATTGATCTCAGATGAAGAAATCGCTTGCTTGTTCATTGCGACCGTCATTTGATGGTACGGAATACCAGCCGCGATAATTAGCGACCGCGACACAAAGTTTACTAGCAACTTCTGGAAGAACCTTTGAGAGCGGTTCGGGACCAGGCTACAGTTCGGGACCAGGCTACAGTTTAGCTCGTCGTACCACCCCGAGACCGACGGTCAAACGGAGCGGATGAACTAGACCATGGAGCGGTTGATTCGTGCCACGTGTGACGACCCGACAACATGGGAGCAGCATGTCAGAATGTGATGTTTTTCTAGCCTGCAGTGGGGTACTCTATGGCGAGTACAACCCAATTAGGGTTTCCTCTATGTATCTCAACTGGTGCAAGTGAAAACCTCTCTTTTCTGTTTCTGGTTTTCGCCTGCTGTTTCGACATGCTATCAGAGCAGGTCGACCCTCCTGGGTCGATCCTGTGGGTGGGCCCCACCCGATGCTTCCGCTGCTCTACTGCCTGTAGCGCGCCCCGGGCGCGCACCGTTTTTCTTCCTGCCGTGCGCTCGGAGCGCGCAGCGTTTTTTCTTCCCGCCGTGCGCTCGGGGCGTGCGGCGGTTTTCTTCCCTGCCCGCCGCATACCCGGGGAGCGCGTGGCGGTTTCCTGCCCCGGTGACCTGCCCGTCGCCCCCCGTCGCCCGACGCGGCCCGCGCAACCTGCGCCAGGCCCGCGCGCGGCCCGTACGGGCTGCGCCAGGCCCACGCGCGACCTGTATGGGTTGCGCCAGGCCCGCGCGCGGCCCGTACGGGCTGCACCAGGCCCGCGCGCGACCCAGGCAGCCCGCGCGCGGTTCGTCCCGAGCTTCTGACCTCGCCCCGCTGCTGTCCGCGCTCCTGTGTTAGGGTTTGGGGGTGGAGAGTATGGGGGTGCTGGGTGTGTGAGCCGTCCCCTGCTCCTCCTCCTCCGTCTCCCACTGCTGCAGCTGCCGCTGAGGGGGGTGGATGTGTTGGAGTCGTCGGAGTGGTACGAAGGGGGTGGCGTGTGAACAGTGCTAGAGGTGCAGCAGGGAGTGTGTGAAAGGGGTGTGGGACGGTTGGGGGAGGTTGACCGGAGGTAGCCGACTTGTCGTCCGCAGCGCCTGAAGTCCAGAGAGCCACGACCCCCGGTAGCCTGAGTAGGCCGGGGCTCTGCGCCCGGTAGCCACAGTGTGAGCACTCTAGGTAGTCCAGAGAGCCACGACCCCCTGTGGCCTGAGTAGTCCGGGGCTCTGCGCCCGGTAGCCACAGTGTGTGCACTCCTGGGAGCATAGTGAGCCAGCTGCATCTGTCGCCGTGTAGTCCGGGTTTAGCCTAGTAGCGACAGTGCTGCGCACTCCTGCTGCCTGTGTGTCTGCAGCTTCAGCCGTCGCCTCCCATCTTCTAGCCCTCACAGTTTCTCCTCCTCCTCACTTGCCCTGTGTGACTGCCTCTAGTTTTGCTTATACTTGTGAACTACTGCTCTGCCTGCTTGTTGTGCTGATTATACCCCACTTTGACTATGGGGGTGTGTCAGAATGTGATGTTTGTGTAGCCTGCAGTGGGGTACTCTATAGCGAGTACAACCCAATTAGGGTTTCCTGTATGTATCTCAACTGCTTCTAGTGAAAACCTCTCTTTTCAGTTTCTCGTTTTCGCCTGCTGTTTTGACACAGCAGCTGCCGCCGATCGAGTTCGCGTACAACAACGCCTCGTCAGCGACAACACAACAGTCCCCGTTTTACCTGAACCACTGGCAAAATCCAACAGTGCCCATGACGCCGAATCTGGACAACCCAACGCCACACGCACAGCAATCTGCCGAAATTCTACAAGCTTTCCGCACCAGAGCCGCAGAAGCGTTAAAAAAAAAAAAAAAAAAAAAGCAAATGTCATAGCCAAGAGAAATGCTGACCGCCAGTACTGCCTACTAGTCAGGGGACTCGTACTGCTAGACACACATAATTTAAGACTGTTCGTCGTACCGAAACTTCGACAGCAATACTGCGGACCGTTCCAAATCAACCATGTGAGTACCCCAGTTACCGCCCACTTACTGTTGCCGATAGACTGGTACATCAGCCCATCATTCCACGTAAGCCTACTTCGCCCTTACATCCCAAACACAACCAATTGCCTCGTTACCGCTATCCATGAGTCGCCCTGCATCGGAGCCGATCGTTGATCCCGAAAAAATCCTAAGCCATCGGATTCGACACCCCACAGGCATCAAGAGGCTCGAGTTCCTCGTACGCTGGAAGGACCGTACGCCAACTGAAGATAGCTGGTGCCCCTGGCCGACATCGAGAACCACCCTGCCTTACAAGTGTACCTGAGGAGCCGGGGTTTCCACGATATTTACGCACTCTCGTAGCGGAGGGGGCTTCTTGAGGGGGGGGGGGGGAGGTAGTGTAAGGAATTTTCTCGACATTCCTTACCGCGACCATCAACGTCGCGTACAGCAGCAGCTGTTGTTCACCGGTTACTGTTAACGGGGCTTTACCAACTTCGCGTGCACTGTTTCACCAAGCCAACCATGCACCGCTGGCCTGGCCGAGTCGGCCTACGCTTCGGGGCTAGCCCGAACCTCGATGCCAGCCTAGCACTAGCTATCTCACACACACTGCATATTTTCACACATAATTTTTCGCTCATGCCTTCGCTCATACTTGTTATCTTTTGCCCAGATAGTGCAATCCTCGATATCTCGTTCCATTGTACACGTAGCATTCACTCTATGCGAACCTTCCTGAAGTGATCCTAGGCTCGGTCAAGCTTTCGATCACAACAGGTGGATAAGAGGGGGGAGAAATCCCGTTGGTATAAACTCTGAAACCTACGGTATCCGTGCAAAGAATGAAATTACCCCTCTCAAGTCATACTGAGTAATTCTGTCAGTAATGTACGCAGCACATACACTCCCAGCCCAGATACTAACTTACAGTAAACGGGCGGGGCTTCACAGTGAGTATGCAAGGCGTGGGGAAGGCGTGTAGATATTTTCCGCCCTTCGCCTCCGCTCTGTCATTCTCTGCCTATCCGACCCGACTTGGCATCTGCTCGCGTCGCATCCCCATAATGTCCTCTCCCCGCATCCTTGTCGTGAATGGCGCCAAGCGCGCTTTGCAGCACCAATGTGCCGCATTGCGCATTGCGCATTGCCCCTTTTCGGGGAGGCGCGGAAGTGCGATGTGCAATCAGAACCCGGTCGCTGAATGCGGCTGTCTTGATGCGCCCAATGACACGCTTGCTCGAATCTCCTCTATTCGACGCCAACCCGCCCCCCCTCGCTAGCGAAGTGCTCCCTTACACCTGGTACTTTCACTCCTCTGAGCGTCGTCACAGCCCTTGTCGGCCATCACCCCTCGCCGCTGCACGACAGAAGCGTCTCCTTCTCGACTGTAGGGAGCCTCCTGGCCATGTTCCGTTCATGAAACCACAACCATCATGTGACGGATTTCACAACTATAAAAGTATACCCCAGTTGCTGCGAGGTTCCGATGGACATCTTGCCGTGCGAGAGCGAGTGCGTTGACATCTCGATCTCTTTCCGTGTCATATGATCATGGCGGAGGGGTGGTTGGCCAAGTGCGCATTCCTGGAGGTGGACGGCAGGGAGGACTCCGCGCACGCAGCGGAGCGGGGAGATGCGGGGACGAGCGGGGCGGAGGAAGAGGCGGAGGCGAAGCTAGCGCGGAGGAACACGGTGGAGGTGGTGGCGGCCCTCGGGCTCGTCGCGCATCTGTCTGGCGGTGCGTTTCCGTTTCCGTCCCTTTGCATCGCTCTGCACCCATGCATGCACGTGTCTGCTGCACCTGTTGATGGTCCCACTTCCAACCACCGCCATGCCTCACATTCTCGTTGCGCTCCCGCGCCACGCCTCTCCGTTCTTCTCAGGCAAGGCGCGCCACTCCCCGGCGGCATGGCAGCGCAAGCTGGAGCAGCTGCTGCCGCCGCACGCCTTCGCTCTGCGCGGGAGAGTGGCGGTGGTGGTGGTGGTGCCAACGCGCGAGCAACAGCTCGCAGCGGAGAGGGCGTGGCGCAGGCTGCAGCGGCAGCAGGGCGCGCAGGGGGGGGATGCAGCGGGCGGGGGGGGCGCGTTGGAGGTGCACGTGGTGGTGGCGGGGCTGTCGCGCCTTCCCCGTGGGCTGCCTCCGTGCGCCTTGGCGCTCGTCACAGCCGTGTGTGCGCCGCCCTCTGCTGCACCCACTGGCTCGGTGTCCTCTCTCTGGCCGCCCTCCAGGTGCGTCGCTCCTCCTGTCCTATATTCTCGTATGCCGCATTCCCCATGCCCCATGCCCCATGCCCCATGCCTCATGCCTCATGCCCCATGCCCCATGCCTCATGCCCCATGCCCCATGCTCCTATCTTATGCATGAAACCCCGTTTAACAACCATTTACTCTCATGCACCAACCATTTACTCTCATGCACCAACCATTTACTATTTCTTCTGTTCTTGCCTCTCATACCCCATTGTGCACGGCATGCGCACCATCACATGTCTCTACATGCACCTAGATGCCCATGCACGTCCAGGCATCCCCTACATCATGTCCATGCATGCTCATGCACACCCCTACATGCCCCTACATGCCCATGCATGCCCCCACATGCCCATGCATGCCCCTACACGCCCATGCATGCCCCATGGCGCCAGGATCCACGCTCTCCTTTCCGCCCCAGCGCCACTCGTCCTCATCTTGGGCCACCACCCCACTCTCTCAGCCGGCAGCAACACGTGGCGCCAGGTCATTGGCCAGTTGAAAGCCCAAGGCAGGTTCATGGATTTGGAGGAGGGTGGGGGAGCGGTGGCGAGGGCGATAGCAGCGAGGCGGGAGGCAGTGGAGGAGATGCGGTGCATGGTGCAGGGCGCTCGAGCAGCGGCTGCTGGGGCCAGCATGGGGGCTGCCTCACCACACGCCACGGGCTGGCATGACCTGCCATGGACGGTGGGTCACTGCACTGCACTGCATGCTATGCTACCTTCCTGCCATGGCACATGGGTGGTTGCGTGCTGCCGTGGGCTGATAGATAGAGTATGTTGCTCTGACTCCTGTGCCGTATGCTTAGGTGTTTTGCACCTTCATTCTCATCTGTGCTCTCATGTGCGCACAGCAGCATCTGGTGTTATGTCCCACCCCACCCAGCACCATGTTCTCCTAGCCTTTCCCCTCCTTCTCTCTGCCGGCAGGGCCTGTTCTCGCCGTCGTTCGGGGAGGCCTTGCAGCGAGCCGAGTCAGTGGAGGTGGTGCTGTGCCTCTGGCGCATCCTGCAGGGCCGCCACGGTGGGCGAGACGGCAAGCCCGCCGCCAGCTGGCTGCCGGCAGGGCCGGAGTGGGCGGAGGATGAGGTGCCTCGGCGGGCGTTGAACGATATCGTGCATGTGGACGTGGTTGGCGATTATTGTCTCATCTGGTCCACCGATGTGTGCCATGAGAGCCGCAAGCAGGCAAGCACAAGTTAGGGTCGCCTGTGTGCTCTTTCTTTCTTCCTCGTCCCCTTCATTGCACCAAGTTCCCCTGCTCTCTGTCTTTGTTATTCTTCACTGATTCAGTTCTTATGTGGCATGCACAAAAGTTACTCGTTGAAAGAGGTTACTCGCCCTGCACGAGACGTCCATCACTCACGCGTCCTGCTGCACGTGCATCAAGCAGGTGGTGCGGCTGTGGGCGTTGGAGGCAGAGGGGCGAGTGCAACAGACCGTGCAGCGCATACACCGCCACCTGTGCTGCTACTCGCCCGCCTACCTGCACTACTGCGCGCAGCACCAGTACTGCCCCTCCTCGCCCCGCCTGCGCATGCCGGCCCTCCTGCCTCACCACCGCAACATGCAGTGGTGGCGCACACCCTCCGGTGGGACTGCTGCCTCTTGTTCGCTGGTGCCCTTGTACCTTTGCACCAAATTCACTCCCCATCTGCAATTCTCGGTTCATTCCTCGCTTCGTCTCTCTCATTGCATCCACACCCCAACCCCCGCCTTCCCTTCTCACCTCCTTCCCCCCCACACCACTCTCCGCAACATCAGCGGACGTCAGCGACACATCAGCGGGTGTCAGCAGCAGCGCCACATCAGCGGACGTGGTGACGCCGCCCAAGTTCATCGCACTGCAGCCCGCCGTGGCACTCACGCTGCTGGCGCGGGGCGGCGGTGCGCTCGCAGCGTCGCTGGGCCACCTGCCGTTTGAGGTGAACGCGGAGGAGAGGGCCGCCATCCTCTGCCCCTCCAGCCTCGTCGTGCACGGCCGCTCTGGTCAGTCGCTTCGCTTCGCTTGCTGCTGCAACTGTCGGCTGAGTGAGCCACAGCCAGTCTGTGCCTGCATGGCAGCTGCTGTTGTTGTCATGTCAGCCCATCTCCTTGGCAATCGCTGTCCGTTTCTCCCCAGCGTGCCATGCCACCCCCTCCGTCATACCAACACTAACATTTGCAAAGGCTAGAAGAGCTGCTGCACAAAAGTGAAGATTAAGGGCTGCTTGCCTTGCCTTGCCCCAACTCAAACACTCTTCCCCGCTCCCTCCCCCGTGTCACCCCCTTCCACTCCCCCCAGGCACGGGCAAGACAACGGTGATCATCCACAGGGCTCTGCGTCTGCACCGCCTCTCCTCCACCCCTCCTCTTGCCTCTCCACCTGCCCACGGTGCCACTGGCATGTGGGGTACTGTCTCGGAGGATGGCTGGAGCATGGGGGAGAGTGGCGCGGGCGATGGCACGGGGGTGCTGCGGCAGGTGGTGGTGACACGCAGCCTGCAGCTGTGTGCGTCCATTCAAGCCGACATCACTCACGCGTCCGAGTAAGTGTGCCTCACAGCGTCACCGTGCTGCTTCTTTGCGACTGCATGCTGCCGTCTTTTCTGCCTTCTGTGCTATTGTGAATGGGTATGGATGGAGGGTTGAGTTGAGATGGTGGGAGTTGTCGAACTTGACGCTGCAGCGAGATAGTGCTGAAATTAACCCCGTCTCTCACCCCCCAAGGTGGCCTTTTTTCGCCTGCCCGGATTTCTTTTAGCTGCCCGTGTAAGCTGTTTTCCAGTGTAAAAAAAAAAAAACATGTAGAGCTAGCCATCATAGCTACAAAGCTGATGTTTCCTCTTCTGATCCCTTATTTCTTTCGCTGCACCTTCTTTCCACTCTTCTCGTATCCGCTTCACACCATGCTGCCATGCCTCTCCCACCCCCCCTTTCTCTGCTGCCACCGTACAGGTCGCTCGCTGCACTCGACTCTGCTCACCTTGCCTCGCAGCCCTCTGCGGGCCTCCACAGCAGCACGGAGCAGCAGCAGGAGGCGCCACAGCAGCAGCAGCCAGCCCCACAGGTCCCGCCTCAGCCTACCGGCGGAGGCAGCGCCAGCAATAGCAGTGCGCAGAGGCAGCACAGGCATCACATGCTGCTAATGCAGGAGGACCTGGAGGCTTCTCTCATGGGCTCCCTGCCCTCATGCATTGCCGCCATTCCCCCCACCGCGTTCCCCCTCGCCCTCACGCTCTCCAAGCTGCTGCGCTTGCTGGACGCCTCTGTCACCCGCCCCTTCCTCCGGGTTACGCAGCGGCAGCGCATGAGAGAGGTGGCGAGGCGGCGTGTGGTGGTGGCTATCGAGATGAGTGTGCATGGGGTGAGGGAGGCGTGGGAGCAGGAGGAGGGCGGGAGGGCGTGGGGTGGACACGTGGAGAAGGAGAGATGGGAGGCGAGGAATGGTGGGGCACGGGGATGGGGACAAGGAGCAGGTGAGCACAGCAGGGGTGGGCGAAGGGAAGGGCTCTGGGATGCATGGCAACAGGAAACGGATGAGGAGGTTACATTGGGGAAGGAGGAGGAGGAGGAGCAGGAGGAGGAAGTGGAGGTGGACTATGAGCGGTTCAGGCGGCAGTACTGGCCGCACCTGGACCAGAGGGCGGTGAGGGGCGTGGTGGTGGACGCCGCGTTTGTGTGGCGCGAGATCACGTCGCACATCAAGGGCAGCCTGCAGGCGTTGCAGGCGCTGCAGCAGGGCCAGCAGGGCCAGCGGGGCAGCAGCAGCAAGACAGGGCACGTGGTGGTGGGCGAGGAGGAGTACGTGGCTGGCATGGTGGGCAGCAACGAGCGCACGAGCGCCATGGGCGAGCGGGACAGGCGCGCCGTGTACCGGCTCTTCCAGGCGTACGAGCGGCGCAAGCGGCAGCGCGGCGAGTACGACAGCGCTGACCTCGTGCTGCACCTGCACCAGGAGATCCGCCGCATGCAGCAGCACGGCGAGCCCTGGTGGTCCGTAGACCACGCTCTCCCCGCCCCGCCGTGGGCCATCCCTGGAAGCACCACCACCACCGGGCTTCACCGCACTCCACCTGCCAGCACACCCAGTGCTCCATGGTCGGCGTCGTGTAGCGGCCCGTGTGCTCCCGTCTTCCACTGTGTGTCGGTGGACGAGGTGCAGGACCTCACTCAGGCGCAGCTGGCGCTGCTGCCTCTGCTGTGTGGCAATGTGGCCTCGGGGTTTGTGCTGGCGGGGGACACGGCGCAGAGCATCGCACATGGCGTGGACTTCCGCTTTGAGGACCTTGCTCGCGTGGTGTACAGCGAGTTTCTGCATAAAGGGGATGAACTCGGCAGGATCGGTGGAGGGAGGAGCGGCCACGGAGGCAGCAAGGCTGGCCATGAAAGGAGAACAGGGAGAGAAAATGCGGAGGCTTGCAGCAGCAGCAGCAGCAGCAGCAGCAGCAGCAACAGTAAAGTGGGAGGGGAGGCGGGCATGAAGGCGCTGCCGACGTTTCAACTGGTGCGCAACTACCGCACGCACCGCGGCATCATCCGCGTAGCCACCACCGTGGTGCGCCTGCTCACGGCCTTCTTCCCCGCCGCCATCGACCGCCTGCACGCCGAGACCAGCATCGTGGACGGGGCTGTGCCCGTCATGGCGTCCGTGCTGCCTGAATGGAAGATGCACCTTGCCCGGGGCATGCCGCTCAGCGCCACACAGGTGGGCTGAGCTGCTGAGCCCTCCTCTTTGTGCCAGTCTGAACATTGCTACGGCGAACTCTCTTCTGCAATGCACTTGGTGCTCGAGCCAGCAACAATGGTCGCGACAGGAGTCGCTCCTTGTCTCCGTTCTAACTCCTGTCCCATGCGTGTGTGTCCCTGTGCGGCCGGCCGGTCACCAGGCCATCATCGTGCGCAGCAGTGAGGAGAAGCGGCGCCTCTTGGCGCTGTTTGCAGCCAAGCCGGTGGTGCTGACGGTGGAGGAGTGCAAGGGTCTCGAGTTCCAGGTGCGCGCCTGCCTGCCTGCCTGCCATTCTCGCGCTTTGATTCACCCGCAATGCAGCATGCTCAAGTGTAGGGTGCTATTGGTGAATGGGTGGTGGCGGACAGGCTGTGCTAACAGAGATGTAGAGATGTTGAGTGATGTAGAGCTATCTGCTTCTTTCTGGATTGTGTCCCATCACCATGCATGTCTGTGTCATGTCAACTTGTGTCTCCACCATTGCACCCACAGCTGCTTCGCCTCCACCACTACACACCATTGGGTCCAGTGTCCACTCAACCTCTCCTCTCCTCTCCTCTCCTCTCCTCTCCTCTCCTCTCCTCTCCTCTCCTCTCCTCTCCTCTCTCCCCCCCCTCCTCGTCCAATGCACAGGATGTGATTCTCTTCAACTTCTTCACCTCGCCCCAGTCCACCACCCCATGGGCCCTCCTCTACACCTACATGCACGATGCCGGCCTGCCACTCGCTGCCTTCTCCCACTGCACCTGTGCTGCCACCAGCAGCCGCAGCATCAATCAAGGCTGTTCCTGTGGGAAGGGTCAGCAGCAGCTGCTTCAATTCAATGAGCTCAAGTGAGCCTTCGCTTGCTGCTGTCGCTGCCAATCCTACACGCAGATCCCGCTGTGCTAACGGTCACTGTGCTCTCTGTGCGTGTGTGCTCGCGCTTGCCCGTTGTGGTGCATGCAGGCACTGCGCGCTGTGTGCGGAGCTGAAGCAGCTGTACGTGGCGGTCACACGCGCCAAGCAGAGGCTCTGGGTGCTGGACGAGGAGGCCACTCCAGGCGACCGCGACGGCCATGGGGATAGTGACGGCTGCAGCAGGGCGTGGGGGGTGCGCAGCAGTGCGCCCATGAGGGACCTGTGGCACGCCCTGGGTGTGGTGGCGGTGCGGCCGGGCAGCGAGGTGACGCCCAAGTCGGTGAAGCGCGAGCCGGATGAGGACGACTGGCACTCCCTTGCCTTCACCGTGAGCCTGCTTTTCTGCCCGCTCAATCTTTTCTGGGCTCTCTCTTGTTTCGCGCAATTTGGCCTGGCTTACCTATTGTGCTGCATCCTTCCATCACCAACTCACCCACACTCGTTGTCGTTGTGTCTCAACCTTACGTCTCCCCTCCCCGTCGTGCAGTTCTTCCAGAGGGGTGACTATGAGGCAGCGCAGGCGAGCTATGAGCGAGCGGGTGACACGGACAGTGCGCGCTTTGCCCATACCATGCTGCTGTACAATACAGCCCTGGCCCGCATGCACCCACACCCACACCCACTCGCTGTCATGCCCTCTCTGCCACCGTCCTCACAAGAACATGCACCTGAGCCGCTGCTGCTGCCAGCTGTGCCGCCCGACCTGTTGGAGCGCAGTCCGTCTGAGTTGCTGCTGGAGGCGGCGCGCACGTTTGAGGAGATTGGGAGGAACGCTGAGGCAGGCCGTGCATATGTGAAGGCGAGGAACTACGTGGAGGCAGGTACGATACGAGATGGTGGGGTGGCAGGCAGGGCTCCCTGTTGGATGGACATGTGAAGTAGTGCTTTGGGAAGCGCTGTGCGAGTGGGCTCTTTGCGAGTGAGGGAGTATTGCACATGTTTACTCATGCTCTTTCGAAATCACTTTTGAGAATTCTCAAAAGTGATTTCGACATGTGTACTCATGCTCTTGCTCTCCCTTCCTTGGTTGCGCCTCTCCCCCCGGCCCCTCTGTGCCCGCCCTGTCTGTCAGTGCGAGTCTATCTGCATGCGTGCCGGCCCCCGAAGCACATGGACGCTGCGCGCTGCTACCAGAAGCTGGGTCAGTTCGCGGAAGCAGCTGATTGCTACAGCGCAGGCGGCGACATGCACAGCGCTCTCCTCGTGTGCTTGCGAGCTCGCATCTTCCAGAAGGGCCTATCTCTTCTCGACATCTGGCAAGCACCTGCATCCACGTCAGCAGCAGCAGTGCAGGAGGCGCAGCGGGTGAAGCAGCTGAGAGGATGGTACCTGGTGGAATGTGCGCGGTGGCATGAGAGGCAGCGTGAGTACGACCACATGCTCTCCTTCATCCGCCTTCACCACTGCCTGCCCACCAAGCGTGCCTTCCTGGAGGCAGGGCGGCATCTGAGGCAACTGGCAGCTCTAGAGGACGAGCAGGGCGACAAGAGCCGCGTGCCGGGGCTGCTGGAGAGAGCAGGGGCGCTTATAGAGGCGGCGTGGTACTTGTGGCAGCAGGGCTCGCCCGGGCGCGCACTTGTGTACTTTGTTCGCCACTTGCACTGCCGCTTGAATGCCGCCGGGCGCGGGGCATTGCGCGTGGGGGTGCGGAAACGGGCCGGGGAGAGGGGGAGGGGTGGTGGAGGCGGTGAGATGAGCGAAGAGGAGGTTGAGATGGCTGGGAGGCTGTGGGCGGTGGAGCGGTGGAGCTTTGCTGAGAGGGACGCGTGTGGGGCGAGCGACCTGGCGTGGGCGAGGGTAGAGATGAGCGTGCTGCTGCTGCTGATGGCCCATGATATTGCCATCGTCACTCACACTGACACTGACATTGACAGTGACGACGCTGCTGCTGCTGCTGCTGCTGCTGCTGCTGTGAGAGGGGATGATGGTGATACCTGCCAGGGAGCTATGGGTGCTAGGGTGGGTGGAGAGGGAGCAGCAGTGGGTGGTGAGGCAGCGAGGGTGAGGGATGTGGAGTGGGAGGCGTGCTTGTCTCGCGCATGGATGGCTGTCAGGCAGGGGCAGGCCGTTCCAGCTGAGCTTGTAGGGAAGTGCACGGGCGCGGCTGGTGCAGAGGCAGGGAATGGCGGTGGCGGTAGAGGCGGAGAGGGCGGGCGAGACGGGGCGAGTGGGGGGATTGCGGTGTGGTGGGCGGACGTGCGTGTGCGGGAGGAGGAGAGGGGGGAGGCGGAGGATATGTGGCAGGGGAGGGACGTGCTGAGGAAGGGGCGAGAGCAGATGGAGAGGGAGAAGAAACGAGGCGTGACAGGAGGGTTGGGTATGGAGGAGATGGTGAGTGAGTGGAAGGGGGCAGAGCAGGTGCGAGCAGAGATGCTGCTGGCGTCTGCGGGTGTGCAGGTGAGTATGCGCATGCTGCAGTGCGCCCAGGACCACCTCTCTTCATGGCTGGCGCACTTCCACTCTGCCCTGCCCTCCTCCTCGCACCACGTGTGCTCTCCTCAACCTGCAACGCCATCCACTGCTGCTACCCCTGCGTCACCTTCAGCGTCTCCCACTGCTGCCAGTGCCGCCAGTGCTGCAAGGGTAGTCGCAGCGCCAGCAGAGGAGGCAGCGGCACGGCAGGTGGGTCAGGAGCCATGCATGCCCCCTCCTCCACCCATCGGCCCTCTCCAACAAAAGTTAGCGCTCTGGTTCTACCGCTGGCTGTCCCGCCTCTCCGCCCTGCTGTCTGCTCTGCGCCACCTCCTCGCCCTGCCCGCCGCTGGCCCACACCTGCCCCGCCTGCACGCCGCCGTCTCCCTGCTCTCCTGCTCCTTCCACTGCCCCAAGCTCACCTCGTGCTGCCACGTGGACGACGTGTCACTACCGTGGGTGCCAAGGGGTGATGTGCAGAGAGTGGCGAGCAGCGGGGCGAGTGGGGAGATGGAGAGGTGGAGGGCAGTGGAGATGGTAGAGAGTGCGTGGGAGAGGGAGTACGTGGCAAGGTGGAGGGCAGCACAGCACGTGGCGCGCACCGGAGGTGTCGATTGCTCTTCTTGCCTGCTCTCTTGTCTGCAACAGGTGTGTGTGTGCGACCCATGCTCAGTCTGGTGCATGCCAGTCTGGTGCATGCCAGTCTGGTGCATGCCAGTCTGGTGCATGCCGGTCTGGTGCATGCCAGTCTGGTGCATGCCAGTCTGGTGCATGCCAGTCTGGTGCATGCCAGTCTGGTGCATGCCAGTCTGGTGCATGCCAGTCTGGTGCATGCCAGTCTGGTGCATGCCAGTCTGGTGCATGCCGGTCTGGTGCATGCCAGTCTGGTGCATGCCAGTCTGGTGCATGCCAGTCTGGTGCATGCCAGTCTGGTGCATGCCAGTCTGGTGCATGCCAGTCTGGTGTGGCTTGTGTGTTGGACAACCGCTCTTTGCAACCCTTTTGTCGCCACGTGTCCTATTGACCCACACTGTGTAACATGCATCGACAAGCCAACTCAGTAATGCCGTGTGCTCTTCCGTACCCCATGCAGGTTCTACGTGCTTCCACTCTCAGCGCCTCAGCCCATGCCTCTGCAACGACCAGAACCCCAGTCGCAGCACATGCACCACCCTCCCCACACGCTGCTCTCCTTAGCTTCCTCCCCCTCATTGAGCATTCCCTCTCACTCCTCCCTGTCACCATGTTCTCCTGCTCCCGCTCCGCCATCCTCCCCTCCCGTACTGCCACCCCTCTTCACCACCTCTTCTCCTCCCTCCTCCTCCACCCCTTGCCTACCAACCGTGCCTCTCCTCCGACCCGCGATGACCACAAGCCTGCCCGCCCATGCTGGCCGCACCACATGTGTCACACGCTGTTACACCCCACGCTTGCTGCGCTGCTGCTCCACGACCTGCCGGCACAGGGACAGGCGGCCAGGGCGTATGACAGCAGCAAGGCAGGTGGAAGCAGACTGGGGTATGGCTTGGGTGCTGGGGAGATGAGCAGAGGGGAGGGGAGGGGCAGTGACGCACATGCGGGTGAGGTGAATCATGGACCGTTTGCATTGGGGAGAGCCGAGCAAGCAGCAGCACATGGGTCTGTGCCTGCTGGCCAGTCATGCTGGCAGGGAGAAGTGAATGTGACAGCAGAGGACGCATGGGGAATCACGCTGCTGTTCCTCACATGCATGCTCAATCCGCACCCCCACAGCTGCCGCTCAAGGGACAAAGACTGGGGGTTGATGGAGCTGGAGGCACGCATGCGCGTGGCGTGTGAGCGAGGCAACCCTCTCATGGCTCCCTCCATTGCCGGGTTCACTCACGCCCTCTCTGCCCGTGCCTTGCTGCATCAGGCGTCGCCCCTCCCCAACGTGCATAGGGACTCTGGCAGGCTGCTCCACTTCCCCTGGAAGGCCTCCCTGCTGCCACTTGCCCCGACACTTGCTCCTGTTCCCGCCATCCCACTCCTCCCCCACCCTCCTGCTGCCATCTTCAACGTCTCACCCCCGCTTGCAAATGTGCTGTTTGACTTGCTGAGTCACCTGCTGCCCACCTTGCTTGCCATGCGGGCAAGGGGAGAGGGGGTGACCGGTGGACCGGGCCGGATGGGGAGAAGCGAATGTGGGGAGGGGATGTATCCATGGGAGCTGATGCATGCTTTTGAGGAATTTGGTATGGGCATGGTCGAGATTGCTCCATCTCAGTTTCAAGCTTTTTGGAAGAGGTTTCCAAATACAATTGGCCGGTCAGGCAAAGTGTGACTGGCTGTCGGATAGAGCTGGGGAGATAAGACCCGGACCCAAAATCGCTCGAAAGGGATTGACACTACTGACATGAATACTAGTATTCGGTATTCCGATATTCTACATTGGGTTTCCCACTGCAAGGTAAAGGTTATCAGATTCCAGACTTTTACTGTATCAGTCTAATGTGCCTGGTTCTCGTACGGTACTTGTGTGCCGGGTCTGATGGATCATGTTGGGATAAAAAATAGCCCTTAGGATCTTTTCAGGGGTGAACTCTGGGTAAACTGATGTAGTAGCGGAAGCGTTTAATGAAGAGTTGTGAACCACCTTGCGCTAGTATGTGAGGGCAAAGTTGATTGATTAAAGCGGAGAAATACAAGATTATATAAGAGTACCGTATTCTCCCGGACATAACACCCGGGGGTATTATGATAACCACAGGGAAAAAAGGGGGGGGGTCCTCTCAACGGAAAATCCTATATAATACCCGGGTGGTTATATATGGTATATTTTAATGCAAGAGGATTCTCAAATTAGACAGTTTGGGTGTTTCAATGGTCGTTTTAACATCACAGTTTGAGGCGAGAATGTGAGTTTTGGCAAGAATGTGAGTTTCACCTTTCGGGCCACTTGCAGCGGAAGATTCGCCAGCGTGGCAACTTCCTAGAATGTGGGATGGGGGAAATGTCCACTTGCAGCGAAAGATTCGCCAGGGTGGCGACAGTGAGATTGTGGGAGGGGGAAATGTTGGCGGATTCTAAGTGCAAGTACGCGCGAAATTTCATTTAGGAAGCAATTCTCGCGATATTCCCCTGTAAGGAATCAGACTCGATAACAACTATAATAGGAATCCGTAAGAAAAGGGGGGTGTTATAGAAAATCATCCAAAAAGGGGGGTATAGTAGAAACGAGGTCGCCCATAGCACCCACCCCGCACAAGCTACCCGGGGGTGTACTATCATGGGGGGGTGTTTTGTCCGGGAGATTACGGTACAAGGAATACGAAGAGATACGGTTCCAACTGTTTTACTGTTTGCTGTTGCGGTTCGATACAGTGATGACTCGGGCAACTGCTCTGTAACGAGTCAGTTGTGTGTCCTTGCTGTCGTGCTGTACTTGTCAGGTCAAAGGTCGCTGACCTTTGACTTTCGCGTAACCTCCAGCAACTGCTCAACCTCCGAGGGTTGACTCGCCAGTGCTTCGATATGCTTCGCTTCGCTTCTGACTTGGTGTTTCGACACAACATAGGCGCTTAGAGTTAATTGTTTCCAACACTCCCCTTCGCTTCTGGAGTGTCGCTCCTGGTGACGTGGCTCTGTCCAGTCAGCAGCATGCAGTACTCGAACTTCTGCTTTCTGAGCTTCTTGATCAAGTAGTCAGCTGCCATCTCGGACGTGGGGCAGTATGACAGCTCGAGTCTCCCCTTCTCGATCTCATCCTTCACGAAGAAGTATCGCAGGGCGATGTGTTTCGTCCTATTCGCGAAGCCGTTCTTGTTGGCTATGTGAATGGCCGACTGGTTGTCGCAGAACAGGGTAAAGCTTGGTAACTGGGCTAGCTTGGCTTCCTCCAGGAGTTCGCGAAGGTACAGTCCTTCCTTGGTGGCTGAGCAGAGTGCGATATATTCTGCTTCAGCTGAAGAGAGGGCGATTAATTCTTGTTTGTTCGACTGCCAGGAGATAGGACCGATAGGCTCGAAGCGGTAGATGTAGCCGGTGCGGGAGCGCCTCTTGTCGGAGTCGCCGGCGTGATCGGCGTCGACGTACCCGATTAGCTTAGGCGTTTTAGTTGTGTTCTTATGGTAGGTCAGGCGATTGTCGGGGTGCTGACGAGGTAGTGAAGAGCGCGGTCGAGCTCCGCCAGATGTTCTGCTTCAGGTTTCTTGAGGTAGGTGGCGAGCTGGCTTGCAGAGTACGATAGGTCTGGGCGGCAGGTGACAGCTGCGAAGATGAGGCATCCCAATTTCCTCTGGTAGTCGCGTATGCCGGCGGGCTTGAGTAGAGCGGAGCCTTCCTTGTGGTTTCCTGCCGTGTAGCGGTATGGCGTGGAGATGACGCTCGGTGTGAGTGCGAAGCGCTTGGCGATGGTATCGGCGTATTTCACGGCGCTGAGGTAGATCGCGTCCTCCTCTTCCCGTATGTTGAGCCCGAGATATTGCGTGACGGTAGATGAGACTGTGAGCGTAAGGTCTTGCTGCAGCTCCCCTTTGAACCAGGTAGTGACGCTGTTGGTTGAGCCGCTATAGAGCAAATCGTCTACATAGACGATTAGCAAGATGTAGTCGGTACCCTTTGTGAGCCGGTACATGCCTTGGTCATGAGGTAGTTGGCAGAATCCAATTCGAATGAGTCTTGCGTGCAGGTACTGCTGCCACAGCCTCGGAGCTTGTTTGATGCCATAGAGCGATTTCAGCAGCTGACAGACTTGATTAGGCTCTCCGTTGGAGCCGTGCGGTAGCTCGACGAAGATTTATGCATCGACGGGTGCGTAGAGGAAGGCGTTGGCGACGTCAATTTGCCGCAGCTTCTTTTTCTTCATGGCGGCAATCGCGAGGAGGATTCGCAGCGAGGTGTGTTGGCTGACTGGAGCGAATGTCTCGGTGAAATCACGTCCGTGTTCCTGGTCGAAACCGCGTACGACCCAGCATGCTTTGAACTTGTCGATGGTGCCGTCAGCCCTTGTCTTCACGCGGAAGACCCACTTTCCAGTGAGAATCGTCTTGTTCCGTGCTACGCCGATAAGAACAACCTTCCAGGTGTTGCGTTCCTCCAGTGCTTTCAACTCCTTGTCCATGGCTTCGCACCATTTTTCCTTATGCTCCCCCCCCAGAGCCTGCTGAACCGTCGCAGGCTCCTTAGGAATGGCTGTCCCGTGGACTGCGGTGACGAGACCGAGTATCTGGAGTCCACTCTGTGTGTAGCGGGGAAGTGATGTGTCCGCGGGATAAGCTGCTTCGTCTCCCTCTTCTGGCGTAGGCTTGAAGTTTCGTCCTACGCGTTCTGCTTCGTTGGTGTTGACTTGTGCAGGTGTAACGTAACCGTTGTCGGCGAAATGGTAATAGGTTTTGGCGTTGATGCTTTCGCGTGGATTCTCGTCATCCATTGGGACGTCGACGGAGTAGTAGGGGAGAGGTCCGGCTTCTTCCGAGGCTCCTTCCACGTTTTGCTCGTCCCAGTTAGCTTCATCTTCTGCCGAATCGAAGGCTCGGGTGCCAAGAAAACCATCAGAGCGGTCGGGGTTTCCTTCTTGCAAATTGGCGAGGTAGTATCGGAAGGTGAGGTTTTCGTAGAAGATGACATCACGTGCTGCTACTGTTTCCTTTGTCTCGACGTCGAAAATCTTCCATGCCTTGTAATGTTTTTCGATGCCCAGATGTAGTCCCCACTGTGGGCGTTGGGAGAATCGGCCAGCTCGTGCAGATGGGGGCCGGTACTATACCATGCAGCTGAAGACTCTCAACATTTTTGTGCTGCCCAGTTTTCCTGTCCACAGCAGATGCGGTGATACGTTGTTCGAAAGCGATGATGACGAGAGCAAGTTGTGCAGCTTGACGGTGTGGTCCATTGCTTCAGGCTACTGGTGGTTGGGCAGGTGCATGCCACGTAGCAGCTTGCGCATGGTGTTCTGGAGGGTCCTGTTCATCCTTTCTGCTACACCCTGCTGTTGATGGGCGTAGGGGAGAGAGATGAGTCGCTTGATTCCTCTCTCTGCCAAGTACTCCTTGAACCTCTGTGAGGTGTATTCTCCCCTCCGTCTGACTGGAAGCTCTTGAGTTTTACTCCGGATTCTCGTTCTGCTACTGGAAGCCATGCGACGAAGGCTTCGAAGGCCATGTCGCGGCTTGGAAGATTTAGGTGCCAGACGTATCGAGTGGCCGCGTCGATGAAGGTGATGGTGTAATTGTACGCGTTTTGTCCAGGCTCACGGTTGTACAGGATGTCGCTGTACACCTTCTCGAGTGGCGCGTAAGCTGGTGCGCTTGGGTTGTGGTGAGGTACGAAAGGTCAGCTTCGGGACATGTGAAGCATGTTCCACGGGCTCGCTGAAGTTCTCTGCCGTCAGTTAGGAGTAGAGAGTCTTTGTCGAGCACGCCTGCTCTTATCGTGTTATTTAACACCGTGTTGCTTGGGTGACCCATTCTTGTGTGCCAGGTTCCTTCGGTGGCGCGATCTCCGGGTGAGCGCCGATACATGTCGGAGTTGGAGTAGAAACCGGCGGTGAAGTTGGTGCTTCGGTGGACTTCTCGTTGAATCGGAGTCAGTTGCTGCGCGGGTGTTGGTGATGTGTCATCGGTGAAGATTGGTGCCGTTGAAGGACCAGCGATTGGTGTCGTTGTAACCATTGCTGTTGTTGTTGTCTCTGCTGCTGCCGATGTTGTCTCTGCTGCTGCCGATGTTGTCTCTGCTGCTGCCGGTGTTGTCTCTGCTGCTGCCGATGTTGTCTCTGCTGCTACCGGTGTTGTCTCTGCTGTTGCCGGTGTTGTTTCTGCTGCTCCCGAATGTTGTATTGTTGCTAACGCTCTTGTTCTTTCTGCTTCAGGAATGGTGTGCGAGTACCAGAATCCTTCGAGGCTCAAGTTGGGGTCAAGATCTGGTGGATGTGTCCAGGAGGTGAAGGTGACGATCCCGTCGCTGTCAGCTGTGCCAAGGTCTGGGACGAAGTCGAGGACGAAGACGTTGTTCTTCAGGACTGCCTTGCCGATGTAGAGACCTCCTCTTCCGTGGTACAACTTGAACTCTTGAGTGGTGCTATCTGCTTCAAGGTGGATGCCTTTCGCCATCAGCTGGCTGACGCTCAGTAAGTTGTAGCCGAGTCCCTCCATGATTAGTACCTTTGACATCTGTAGTATAACATTTGTCTCCCTTGACTGAAGTTGAACCACGCCTTGTTGTCGTGTGCGCAGGTTCTGATTGTTGGCAACGATAATGACGACTTCGCGTTGAAGTTGGTGCTCGCGCTGAACGAAACGTCTCGAAGAGAACATGTGCTGCCTGCAACAACTATCCAAGAACCAAGTATCTTTTCTGGACGGCTCACTTTGGGCGATAGCTGCGTACGTTGGATTCGGCTCTAGTGTCTCGCGGCGTGGCGTGCTTTCATCAAGGAGTTCTTCGGGTGAGTATGTTGGTGGTGATTCGGTGGTGCAAGAGTCGGAGAGTCTTGCCATACAACTGACGATGTTTCTAGCTCCTTGTGCAGGTTGTCCCGTTGATGTCGTTTGAGCTTGAGCGGTGGGGTTCGCTTGTGTTGAGGCAACTTGGCTGCTTGAGGGCCGAAGCTATCGCTGTGGCGGTGTTGACTGTTGTCGATTCGGGCAGTGTGTGCGCGGATGTCCTGACGTCTTGCAGAGATGGCAGAACGGAGGTACGGGCTTTGGTTGTTGTCGGTTGTTGTTGTTGTAGCGTCGCTGAGTGTGGAAAGCGAATTCCGGTGCTGGCGTCTTCCTCTTGTGCCTTTCTTCTTGCAGGTCCATGTCTTGTTGCTCGGCATGAATTTCAGAGCAAAGTGCTGCTTCGGAGATTCTTCCGTGAGCTCGGAGAATGGCTTTTGTGGCGCGCCATTGAGGACCGAGGCCGCCAATGATGACTGTCACAAAGGCGTCTTCAGATATCGACCCTCCGCATCGAAGGAGTTTGTCGCGCAATTCGCGACAGCGACTGATATACGCCACCCCCTTCTCCCCTGGTTTCATTTCGACTGTTGTCAGTTGCGCCATTAGTCGACTCTGACTTACGCGGTCTGTTGCTTAGTACAGGCTTTTCAAGTGGTTGTATGCGAGCTCGGCGGAGTTGCCGTATCCCCGGTAAGACCGTATATTCTGTTGCTGAGTCGGGGTGATATTCCTCAGTAGGATTGTGTACGCCATCATTGACTGATAGGTGTTCTGCTGCTTCTCGTACTGTGTGCCGTTTGTTGGGTATGGCAGGGATCCGTCGAAGAAGCCGAGGATTTGCGCGCCTTCCATCGTTAGCTCGAACTCGAATGACCAGGTAAAGAAGTCCTTTACGTCGAAAGGTCTTGACGTCTGCAACTTCAGGACGTGCGCGAACTGTGACTGAACTTGTAGCGCGTCCAGTGTCTTCTCTTGTCCAGGTGCAGGCTACGGTTGTGGCATAAAGCTGACGGAGCCGCGCTGGGGCTCGTACGGAGCAAAAGTAGGTTGCTGCTGTTGATTTCCACGTGCGTAGGATGAACCATCGAGGCTCATTGGAGTCACGTCGTTGTTGTTGTTGCTGTTGTGTGACTGCGCAGGTGCCGATTGCTGGTGTTGCTCGTAGAAGGACATAAAGGAGAAAAACTTCTCCATCATGCTCTGGTCGAAGCCTACAGGTTGATTCGCGGGAGTCTCGGTGGATGTTGCCCTGGGTCTTGTTGCCGTACCCTCCTCTGTCTGTAGGCCAGAGGCAGGAGGTGGAGTAGGAGTAGTTCCAGGAGAACCAATAGAGGAACTCCTTTCCTTCTGAGTAGCCATGTCTTCTGGTGTTGTAGGTGTCTTGATAGTTGAATTCCCCCTGATAGCTCTCATACCATGTTGGGATAAAAAATAGCCCTTAGGATCTTTGCAGGGGTGAACTCTGGGTAAACTGATGTAGTAGCGGAAGCGGTTAATGAAGAGTTGTGAACCACCTTGCGCTAGTATGTGAGGGCAAAGTTGATTGATTAAAGCAGAGAAATACAGGATTATATAAGAGTGCAAGGAATACGAAGAGATACGGTTCCAACTATTTTACTGTTTGCTGTTGCGGTTCGATACAGTGACGACTCGGGCAACTGCTCTGTAACGAGTCAGTTGTGTGTCCTTGCTGTCGTGCTGTACTTGTCAGGTCAAAGGTCGCTGACCTTTGACTTTTCGCGTAACCTCCAGCAACTGCTCAACCTCTGAGGGTTGACTCGCCAGTGCTTCGATATGCTTCGCTTCGCTTCTGACTTGGTGTTTCGACACGACAGAGGCGCTTAGAGTTAATTGTTTCCAACAGATCAGACTCTGTTCTGGAGAAAAAATAGAAGAACCAAGGATTTCTAGTGTGGCATAGTTGTTTTGTCTGATACCATCAACTTTTTTCCGAACCAACAGCCCGGACGGCAGTCCGGTATCCCTACCTACCTACTCGTCTAAACCCGTCATCGAATAGAACACGATACGAACTACTGCCACACAAGATACGGTACCCTGTAATCCTTCGCCCAAAAGGCCGTCCGGACCGTTGGTTCGGAAAAAGGTTACTTGCCTTAGTACCGTAAGTTAATGACGATGCGCATATTGCATATCCACCCAGCGCATGACAGTGGGTGTTGATGGTCATGAGTTATGACTCATGGCTCATGGGCAGATCAGATCACCCCTCCCTGCAAGGTGCGACAAACGACTGAAGGCCCGGCATGTGTGACTTGCATCCAACTTCAGGCCTATTCAGAGAAAGTATGGGTGAGTGAGTGGGTGAGTGAGGGGGTAAGCACATGCACAAAAGGTGGATCGTTGAAAAAGGCAGGGCAGGGAAGGAGATAGGAGGTAGTGCAGGGGTGGGGAAGGACAGTAAAACGGGGTGAGGAGGGGACGGGGGGGCGAGATGCACAATCGTTATCCAGCATGCACATTGCAATTTGCTCATCTAGAAGATGGGAGGGGCTGGTTCTATCAGCTGCCACACACGTCATTGCCGAGACACGCACATACCAGCCAATTCCCTAGCAGGAAACAAGGCCAGCAGGAAACACGGCCAGCAGGAAACACAGGACAGGGGCCTGTACTTCAATTACAGAGCCAACAGCAGTTACAGTGAACAAAGAGATTCTAGCAGCAGCAGTCCTCCGAATCCCCTCCAGTTGCAACTCATTCCCTTCACACCACTCTTTGGCTTTGCAAACTTGGCAAGCACCTTAAGAACTGTCACCAATCACATTGGATCGCCTAAGCGTGCTTCTTAAGCGACGGCACCAATCACACTTGCCAATGCAACTCCGTGTAAGAAACTGAAATTCCTGGTCTTAATGTGCATCACAGCTTTACGGAAAAGTGCAGACCTCTCACCTCCCTCCTGTCCATCGCCTTCTCCTCCCTCCTGCCTTGCCGCTCACCTTGCTGGAGTTACTGCCACTCACAATGCCACTCACAATGCCACTCACAATGCCACTCACAATGCCACTCACAATGCCACTCACAACACCACTCAAAACACCACTCACAACACCACTTACAACACCACTCACAACACCACTCACACACCACTCACAACACCACTCACAACACCACTCACAATACCACTCACAACACCAATCGCCTTGCAACTCACCTTTCCAATCACATTTCCCTCACCTTGCCACTGTTGGTCCCACTCTTATTGCCGCTGGTCCTGCCGGGGCATGTGAGCTTGTGGGAGGGCCAGTGCGCCTTCTGGCACTCTCTGTTGCAATACGCCATCTTGCCACACCCAGTGCAGTTCCTCAGCTTCACATCACCACCTTCCACCCTCCCACACCCTGCAGCACCGCACACACGCCCCCCACGAGCAGCAGCACCAGGTCCATTTGCAACTGAAACGGATGCAGCCGCATTGCTTGCTGCAGCATCAGTGCTTGGAGCAGCAGGGGCGGAAGAGGCTGCGGGACCGGAAGAGACAGACGCGTTTGGTGCTGCAGGATGGGAGGAAGACGCGGAAGGGGGGGCAGGGCGGTAGCACACTTCCCCCAGCAGCATCTCTCGCAGACACGCCACCAAATTGATCCCCCCGGGCCAGGGCTTCAGATAAGCCGGCTCTTCCCCCTTTTCCTCCTCTCCCTCACTCTTCCCACCACCGCTCCCGCTGCTGCCACTCCTGCTGCTGTCCCCAACATCATTCCCAGACCCACCCTGTCCCGCAGGCATGTCTTCACGGAACCTTGGTTTAGCAGCCTGCGCCCACATGTCAACGCCCCACTCCCTTGACATGGGCGCTCCTGCCTTCCTGGGCAGCACATCGCTGCTGCTGCTCTTCCCGCACGTCACATCCAGTCCCGGCCCCATGACCTTGGTCATGGCCCGCCAGGCGGACAGCATGTCAAAGCCCCACGATTTCACCTCAAGCCATACCTCCCCGTTGTCCTCCTCTTCCTCCTCGCCCTCCTCCCCACCATCCACAACCCCTACCCTGCCTCCATTCCCCCGCTTCCTCCCATCCCCGGTATCTAATACCAACTCCTCTTCATCAGACATACCCATGATGGGCTTGGAATAGTATACAGCCACGCCTAGCAGGAAGAAGAGCGGCATCTGCCGCGCCTTGAGAAGCATCACACGCTCCCTCATGCCCGGATCTTGAGGCAGCTCCCGCATCCGCTCCGGCCGATGGCGCAGCGCACTCATGCCCCGCCGCACGCCGGCAGGGCTGGCCTCGTTGATCAACCTGATATGCTCCGCCACGGTGAGAGGCGCGCGCAGCAGCAGCGCCTTGAACAGCTGGTCGAACTGGGGGGAGTGCGCGGGGTAGGCGGCGAGGAAGCGGGCGAAAAGAGCCTCAACGGGTTGATAGGCAAAGTTGGCGATGAGGGCGCAGCACGGCACGTGGTAGATAAAGGTGCCGAGGCATTTGATGCAGTGCGAGCAGTCGGGGACCATGATCAAGGGCCCGAGCAGGGCCAGAAGAAAATCCACATCGGCACGGCATCGAATGATGGGCAGGCGGGGTTGCCTGGAACCTCCTTGCCCCATCATCCCACGCCTTGTGATTGTTTCGGCCTCTTCTTCCACCTTCTTGCCGCCACTGCTCTTCCCTCCTTTCCCCCTCTTCCCTCTACCCTTCCCAGCCTTGCCCTTCCCTACTGCTCGTTGCACAGGCTCTGATGAACTCTGCTCACCCTCCTCTGCTGCCCCACTCTCTTCAGTCACCTCTCTCTCCTCTGTTGAGCCACTCTGAGTGCCCCTCTCCTCTCCCATCCCACTCTCCCCCACAATGCCAAGTCCAAAGCAACGCGCACTCGGATCGTCGGGAAACTTCACAGCAGCTTCATCGCCATGCGGCCACTCATCCCACTCCAGGGAGAAGCCGCTTCCCTCGAGAGGCTTGGGGATGGCGCCAAAGCTGAGCAGCAGGCTCGGAAGGTCCCGAAGCGGGTGACGCATGGGCAGGACCTTGCCCCGAGGGTTACCTTTGAAGCAACGCTTCTCTGAGATGAAATCCGAGCCGTAGACTCGGACCCACTGCAACATGCAAGCGACTCGATAAGTTAGGACGGCCATAGCGGGGTGGGTGTTCACAGGTACGAGCCCAGGGGCGAGAATGGCACTGGATTGAGCCGCTGCAGTGAACTTTTGAGACGCCTCATACGTTGTTGCAGTGACAGAAGGCAAGCTGGTGACAGCAGTGGCGGCAGTAGAGTCACCAGTGGAGTCAGAGGGTGTAGAAGAGCAAGACGCAGGAGCAGCAGTGGCGGCTGCACCGGGGGCATCTGAACCACTGCTTTTACACACTCTCCCCCTCTCACCCACCTCCCTTCTCAGCCTGTTCCTGGCCTCATAAATAGCGGCGTTTTCCACTTTAGACTTGCTAGCGTTGTTCCCATCCACCAGCAATGACTGGTCCTCATAGTGCTCTGGCATGGACAGCACGGACGCCACTGCCAGGGCGAAGTCAGTGCCTCCCACGCCACTCAGGTACATGCCCCTGGGAACATCCCTGCCTTCGGTGCTGGCACTGCTGCCACCAGCATCACCACCAGCACCGCTGCTACTGCTGCTGCCACCACCGCAGCCGCTGCTGCAACTACTGCCACTATTACCATTGCTGCTGCTGCCCCCCCCACTGCAGTGGCTGCACTGGAACTCCCTCCCTTCCCCGCCTCCATGCTCCAGGATCCAAGCCATGCCATCCACATACCTCTCCCACTCACGCCCCTTCAGATGCTCCCTCCACTGCCCGCCCTGCCCATCCCCACCGCCCTCACCGCCACCACCCAATGGCCCCTGCCTGCCACCGTCTCCTTCTCCCCCATCCTCCTCATCCCCTGACCCACGCACACCACTGCTCCCCCCTATGCCCTCCGCTCCCCTGCCACCGCCCATCAGCCGCATCGCAGCCGTTGCAGCCGGCCCCGCATTGCCCAGAGCCGCAGCTTTCTTCCCCGTTCCCCCCCTCCCCTCCTCCTGCCCCTTCCCAGCCGCCTTCTCTGGCCCCCCTGGAAGCAGGTGCTGCAGAAAGTACCCAAACCCCTCCTGCAAATCAGCGCTCTCTTTCACTCCCAGCACCTGCACGAGCATGGACGCGAAGCAGTCCGGCTGTGCATGCCTGCCTGCTCCCAGTTCAGTCACGATGGCGGTGAATGTCTCAGAGCGATCCATGTGGGTTTTCCACAGCGTTGTGACGCGCGGGGACCTCGCCACCAGCACAAGGAAGGCAGCGAAGCTCACAGCACGGCGGTAGGCAGCCCAGCAGCCGCTGCAGCGCCAGCAGCACGACCACGCTGGAACAGCAGGTTGAGTATGGGCAGGGGCAGCAGGGTAATCCCCGGCAGAACCTCCTTTAGCCGCTGAAGAAGCTTCAGCAGAAGATGTAACAGGCGCGGAAGGAGCAGAGCAGTGTGCAGCAGCGGATGTATAGCCGAGGATGGCAGGCAGGCGGGATCGGATCCTCCCCAGGTCCATGAGCACGCCCACGCGCGGCTCAGCCAGCCACTCGAGCAGCATGGCCTGCACGCACAGCAGCGGCGCCTGCTCGCACTTCCACACCAGCTGCTCCCGAGGCGCCACCCCCTGCTGCCCGCCTTGCCCCCCCTGCTGGCCCCCCAGCCGCTGCACGGGAACGCTCCAGGAGAAGTCAAGCATTGCCCGGGAGGGTCGGCTCGGGGGAGCGGGGGGGATGGCGGGCGACTGACCGCGGTGCAGGTGCAGCAGGAAGGACAAGGCACTGGTCTTACCCAGGGCGTGTTCAGAGCGGTAGGCCACTGCGCGGTCGAAGCACCACGCGCACTCCCCCCCGTCCCACCCGCCTGTCACATCCACGTAGTGAACCATGTCCGTCCGGCTCATCAGCCGAAGCTGCTTGGGTGCTTCCTGGCCGGCGGCTCTCGCATCTCGCCGCCGTTGCTTTCTGCTCGTTGACTTGCCGGGTTCGAGTATTTGCGCCTCCCATTTCGTCAGCAGGTCCTGCTCGTCCTTCCGACCGGGCTGGTTCCGATGGGCGCGAGCAGGGCCGCTGAGATACGCGCAAGCAGGCCCGCAGGGCCGTCGGGAATTAAACGACATTTATTCGAGACGACGGTGTCGCGATTTGTGACGGGTGGACTGTACGGGCTACAGGGCCCTCTGAAATAAAAATCCGTATTTCAGGTGTGGAGAAATCTGACCAGCGAATTCCAAATGCGCGTATGTACTGCCAAAAAGGTCCAGCCAATAGAGCACAAATCCCGGCTGCAACAACATTCTATGATATATTCAGCATATGTACGTCGAATAAAGTCGGTGAGAATGGCGTCGGTCTGACAAGCTGCCGCTGTGAAAACGCGCTGGAAGATCAGATAGGAAGCAGCAGCCAGCAGGTGAGATGCATGTGACAGCGTTGGGAAAAATCATTCAAATTCGCAATTAGGGTCGCATTCGATAACCCCGGACATTCAGTTCGACTCCATTTGGCGAGGAAACATAAGAGAGATGTTACGCGTCGAAAGTTCTTGCTGCACATATACCGAATTAGTGATCCGTAGCGGTAACAGAGTAACCCGCTGAGAGTGTGCGCTGCCTTGTTGCGAATAACTCACCCGAACTCCTTCGCGTTCGTCTAAATTTCAAACAAACTGAACCTGAACCAGCCCAGATTCCAGGGGGCCCAAGGTGACCCGCAACGATATGGAACTGACTGAAATTTGAACAGCGTCCTCCCAGAGTCCGCATGCAGCATCCCCTACACATCGAGGATTGAGGACGTGTCTCATGTGAAGGGTCCGCTGGATCTGGTCCGCGACCAGAATCTACACGCCTGGTCCGGGGTTCTGGTCCGACGGACCCACTTGGCGGACCAGCGTTGGACCAGACACGGACTGGTCTGCCTGATGCGTCGCGCTTCGGGCTGCACAGTATTTGCGAGATGCAGCAGTAGCGACGAATTCGAAATTGAGTTACCCATTTCCTTCGTTTGCACAAAAAGCTTACGCGAAACTTACAAAACAAGAAATTTCGCCAAAACAAATGTTTCCCCACCCACTGTTTACGGACCAGGCGCGGACTGGTCTGGAGGGCCAAATAAATGGCATCGTTGTAGTCCCATTCGAACGGTATAACAGGGTTACAGGCCCCACATCCTGGTCCCGGTCCGCCCTGGTTCACGCGCTGGACCTTGAACTGGTCCGTCAGGTCCGAGCCGGACCCACGTGGACTCAGACATCTGAGACACCCTCTGAGATCACCAGAACTAGTGCTTCAGCAGCAAAATAACCAATATGGACAGTTAGCGGTGAATTCAGTATGTTCGATTAGTGATTTGTAAGTTGTTCAACAGTACCTGGAGTTTGGCCATGGCTTTTGAGGTTCGGTTTCGAATACCCAGAGGCTTGCTCCCTCGCGGATCAGACGACCATCATAGCAACGATTCACGTTCCAATGATAGTCCATGTGGCAATAAACCAACGGCATCGTCCCACGTGGACGTCCGCGTCGCTGCCTCTCCGGACGAGCCTCTCCGATTGCTCTTCAACCGGCTGTTTCAGTCGCATCTGGCCGACTGCTGCTTGCCGTGCGATACACGTCTCGTGCAGCAGGGCGCAGCCAGTGGCGTGGACGCCGCTGGGGAGAGTGATTCGGCGCGTGGGACTGGGACGCAGCAGCTGGTCCGGTTTCTGGTGTTAGGGCAGGTGGTATACCTCTCGCCTGACTCGAGTGTGACGCAAGCGAAGCTCAAGTCTGGTTCGAGCATCAGAGTGCTTCCTGGTGAAGATCAAGGACAGCACCGTGCATGGGGGTGGAGAGGGGAAGAGCAAGGACGGAGGTGAAGATGCTGTGAGTGATCCTGCTGCTGCGCCTGCTGGGAACGTGATTCCTGCTGTTCCCGCCGCTGCTCCTCCTCCTCCCGCCGCTGTGGCTAGTACCACTCCACGTCCTCCTGCTGCTGATCTTGCTGCTGCACCAGCTCCCTCACCTACCACCGCACCTGTTGCCATACCCACACCTGCTGCCACACCCACACCTGCTGCCACACCTGCAGCCACACCTGCTGCGGCATCTGCTCCAGCAGTGATTAGGCCACGTGGGATCGACTACAGCAAGTGGGACGTTATCGGCTCTAGCAGCGACGAGGACGAGGAGGAGGAGCACGCGCACAACGTACACGAGCGTAGCGGGGCGCTGAACAGACACACGTCAGGGGGCGGCGCTGGCTTAAAGCCAGCAATGGCGCCGAGTCTTGCGGGGACTTGTGGCGCGGGCCTTTCAGAACTCAAGGAGGTGATTTGGCGTGCGCACCAGGACGTGGTGAGGCGCTACGGTTTCCCAGACGTGGTGGTCAGTAAGGCCCACAAGGCGTCTGGAGGGGAAGGCCGGGGATCAGGGAGAGCGAGGGGTAAGGACGTACCTGGGAAGCTTCAGCTGCTGAGTCGGGAGGACATGGTTCACTACCTGGACGTGAGGGGCGCGTGGGATTTGAAGGAGTGCGAGTGCTGCTTCGACCGCGCTCTCACCCTGGGAGCAGAGCGCGCTGTGACCATGCAGAGCCTCACGTTCGCCCGAGCGCTCCTGCAGAAGCAGCTGCCTGGCGCCACGCCCTTTGTGCCGCGCCCCGATGCAGTGGACACGGGCATGCTGGCGTTTGGAGAGCAAGGCGAGCGCGCATCGGTGGCGTCGCCCCATGCGCAGTTCTCCTGCAAGTATGCTCTCGCGCCCTTCGTCTGTGTGGAAGGCATCATGCTCGAGTGGATGGCTGAGCCGCGTGTGGGCATGCTCATGGACCTGGGGACGATCAGATCCCGCCTGTCTGCCATTCTGCCCAATGAAGGCTCTGCTCGGAATAAGAGAAAAAGGCTCTGCTGCTTCTGAATCTGCCCCTGCTGCTGCTCCTGCTCCTGCTCTTGCTGCCGCTGCTGCTCTTCCTGCCCCTTCTGCTGCCTCTGCAGCGTGGTCGTGCTGCTGCCGCCGCAGTGGCTGCTGGGCTGCCTACCGCCGTGCTGTGAGCTTCGCTACCTTCCTTGTGCTCGTGGCGAGGTGGCCACGAATGGACACCATATGGAAAGTGCATGTGGATATATATGATGCCGTATACCCAGCGCTAGCAGGGCAGTTGGGGGCGGGCCGACAGGTGGAGGAGGACTGCGCTGCCTCCGTGCTGGTGCAGGTGCTGGGGGTGAAGGAGAGCGCTGAGTTGAAGGAAGGGTTTGGGTTCTTCGTGCAGCATGTGCTGTCAGGCGGGCTGGAGAAGGCGCATGCGGAGGGGAAGGGGCGTGGGGGAGCTGGGCGGAAGACTGCTGGGAAGGTGGAGGGGAAGGGGCGTGGGGGAGCTGGGCGGAAGACTGCTGGGAAGGTGGAGGGGAAGGGGCGTGGGGGAGCTGGGCGGAAGACTGCTGGGAAGGTGGAGGGGAAGGGGCGTGGGGGAGCTGGGCGGAAGACTGCTGGGAAGGTGGAGGGGAAGGGGCGTGGGGGAGCTGGGCGGAAGACTGCTGGGAAGGTGGAGGGGAAGGGGCGTGGGGGAGCTGGGCGGAAGACTGCTGGGAAGGTGGAGGGGAAGGGGCGTGGGGGAGCTGGGCGGAAGACTGCTGGGAAGGTCGAGGGGAAGGGGCGTGGGGGAGCTGGGCGGAAGACTGCTGGGAAGGTGGAGGGGAAGGGGCGTGGGGGAGCTGGGAAGCGTGCGGGGCTGATGGGACAGACGGGGCAAAGCGGGAAGATGGAGCAGGCAATGGGCGCGGTGATGCGGATAGTGCAGATGGGCGATTGCAAGGGGCCGGAGGACTGGTTGCCTGTCATGGAGGAGTATGGAGTTGAGCTGGCAGATGTGGCACACCTGGGCCAGATGTTTGGGGGTGATGGCGTGGGGGCCATAAGAATGGCTCTGCCTTTTGACCTGAAGGGAAAGGAAGTGGGGGGTGGGAAGGAAGGGGTGGGCGGTGGTGATAGGAAGGGTGAGAATTGGAGGGGGAATTTGAAGGGGCGTGAGTGGGAGAGGTATGTGGATGGCATGGCTTGGATCCTGGAGCATGGAGGCGGGGAAGGGAGGGAGTTCCGGTGCAGCCACTGCAGTGGGGGGGATAGCAGCAGCAGCAACAGCAGAAGCAGCAACAGCAGCAGCAGCAGCGCAGCAGCAGCAGCAGCGCAGCAGCAGTGTGAGCAATGCTGTGGAAGGCTGGGATGTTCCCAGGGGCATGTATGTGAGTGGCGTGGGCGCCACTGACTTCGCCCTGGCCGTCGCTTCTGTTTTCTCCATGCCAGAGCACCGCAAGCTGGGAGCCATGTTCTTTGCAACGTCTCAAAGCGCGACCAGCAGCAATGTGCAGGATGCAGCTGTTGAGGTGGCGCAGGAGAGGCTACGGAATCGGAAGCTGACAATTGGGAAGTCAGGGAAAGAGGGGAACGAGGGAGGGGCAACAGGAGGAGGAGCGGAAGCAGCACCAGGAAAAGAGCGACTAGCTCCCAGTGCTGCTGCTCTGTCAGCCGGAGCTGGATCTGCTGATTACAGTAGTGTCTCTGGTGGTATGAGTGGAGGCAGCAGCATGAGCAGCGGTGGGATGCTCAGTCGTGGCCTTATGTTGGTCAACACAGACCCCACCATTGGGCTGCTCACATATCACGTTGCTTGCATCTTGCAGTGTCTTCGAATCTACGGCTCAGATTTCATCTCCGCCAAGATGTGCTGCAAGGACAGCCCACAGGGAAAGGTCCTGCCCATGCGCCACCCGCTTCGGGATCTCCCGAGCCTGCTGGTCCGGTTTGGCGCTGTTCTCCTGCCATTGGACGAAAGCACCCGCCTCCTGGAGTGGGAGGAGTGGGCCACGGGGGACGAAGCTGCTATGAAGTTTCCTGAGGACTCCACTGCAAGATGTTTCTAGATGGGCAGGGCTGATGGCAGGTAGAGTCGCAGGAACAGCGGGAATGCGGCAGCGCAGCAGGGAAGCTTCCAGGAACCTCTCACCAAACAAGTACTGCCACTTCAGAGCGGAGAGTCCTGCCCAATTGTCCGGTGCAGGGCAGATGTGGACTTGATAGTGGAGTTTGCGGGTTTGTTCCTGGAGGCACCAGCATGCGCGCACTGCAGCAGGTGCATAACACTGTACATCTCGCATGTCCCCTTGGTCACTCTCATTGCCAACTTCGCCTACCGCCCTGCCGCCGTCCTCCTCGACCGCTTCCTCTCCGTCTTCAAGCCGCACTCTGAGGTCTTTCACAGCCTTCTCGTCCGCCTGGGGCTGGACTCTTCACTTAACGCTCCTCACGGCAGTCGGTCTGGCAAGCGGAGCAGCAGCAGCAGCGTGCGTGCGTTACGGGAGTGGGTGGAGCAGGTGCCGGTTGCCTTTCTGCTCAGCCTGGCGCTGCTCTGCGCCTCGCCTCTCCTGCAGCAGAGCGGCACGGAAGGCGGGCAGAATATCAGTGCTGGAGGGGGTAACTCTTTGGCTAAAGAGAAGGCAGGCGGGAGGAGGGCAGGACGTGGGGTTTGCGGGGAAGGCAGAGGGGGTGGAAAGGGTGGTGAGGTTGAAGGAGATTGTGGGGTGGTGTGGGAGGAGGTGCAGTCCTGGTTCATGTTGGCAATGCTGCCTGCCTCTGGCATGGGGAGTGGCGGGGTGGGCTGTAGTGGCAGGCAGGCAAGGGAGGAGGAAGTGAGAGCACGGGCGGACGAGGCAACAGAGGTGTACCAGTGCTCTCTGCTGCCCAGATTCCGTCAAGACATGAAACATGGGAGTGGGCTCGGTGGTTTTAGCAAGCGGAAGGGCAAGAAGGGGGGGGAGCCGGCTTACCTCAAGCCATGGCCTGGAGGGATCAATCTGGTGGCGTGTCTGCGAGAGATGCTGCTGGGGGAGCCCTGCTACCGCTCTGTCTCCCCTGCTGCCTCTTCCGCCCCTGCTGATCCAACCACTGGAACTGGAGGAAACAATGTGGCCGCGTCTCTTTCAGTTGCAGAAGGCTCGGGTGCTGCTGCTACTAGGCGGCGTGTGTGCGGTGCTGCGGGGTGCGTGAAGGTGGAGGGTGGTGGTGTATTGGGAAGAAGATATGCCACACCGCGCCCAATGCAGGTGTCGAGAATGCGGGCGCTGTGTAGTTAAATACCATGCCGCACGGGACACTCTGTCAGCGCAGCACCCAGACACACCCACAGTCTGAACACTTGTCGACTCGCGCCTCTCGACCATGGCGCCGTCTTTCGCTCTCTTCCCTTCTCTTCACCTCGCGCTGGCCCTGCTCCTCGTATCCGGCGCGCTCCTACCAGCCGAATCGCAGTGGGTCAGAAAATCCAGAAGTCCGAGGAAGCGCGTGGCGCTCACGGTCCCCGCCCACGCGCAACGCAGGCAGCAGCTGCAGTAGCAGCAGCAGCAGCCCGCCACCACCGTCGTTCGCGGCGACCCAGGCGGCGCCTCCATCATCTCAGCCGTCGGATTTCCCCTCGTCCACTCTGACGGCGTCACCACCAGCGCCATCACGCCGGCCGGCAGTGCGCCGATTAAGTACCACGGCGGGCCGGTGGTGGTGGGCGCACCGACGGTGAACGTGCACCACATCTACTACGGCAGCTGGGGGCGGGATCGGGCAGGGACGTGATCAACGCGTTCGTGCAGGCGCTGAGTAGCGACTCGGGCAGCCAGGGCAGCGGCGCGGACGCGAGTGTGAAGTCGTGGTGGGCCATCAGCGCCGCGTACTTCCAGAAAGACGCTAACGGCGGCAAGAAGAACATGAGCTCCAAGGTGAGAAACAGTTGGCTGCGCTTGGCAAAATGGGATTTTGAAGTGAAAAGGATGGCTCAAGGCCTGACGGGGAGCAAGCCACTCCGTATGTTGTTGCTCTTGCTACTCCTCGCCCTTTCATCTGCTCCTCGCCCTCATTGATTTCCCCTTGCACGCCCTCTTGCTGCCATGTGCTCCTGGCGCAGGTTCGCCTGGCGGGGACTGTGAGTGACAACTATTCACACGGTAAGAAGCTGACAGACGACGACGTGCTCACCAGTATGTACCGCTCTCCACCACTCATTCTGCTTGCGCCCTGTGCGTGTGCTGCTTAATCTCACACTCACCTTACATGTGCTACTTGTTCCATCGTGCCATATATCACCTCTCTCCCTTCACCTACCCACCCACGCCACTACAATCACGCTCGCTGTCTCACCTCTCCTCCGCTCTGTCATTCCCTGCCCGTGCCCCCACCTCCCGCCTTGCTTCCCCCCCACGCAGTTGTGAAGAGCAAGGTGGGGGCGGGCAAGCCGTTGCCTCTAGACCCACAGGGCATCTACGTGGTTCTCACCAGCGCTGACGTTACTCTCGGGGGCTTCTGTTCAGAGTACTGCGGCTGGCACACGCAGGACTCGGAGAACTCACTAACCTCACCTCTGCGCTTTGCCTTTGTGGGCCACCACGACCAGTGCCCTGACGCGTGCGGGGTAAAGAGCACGTCGCCCAACGGCAAGCCTGCCATCGTCGCTATTATCTCCACGCTCGCGCATGAGCTCACCGAAGCTGCCACGTGTCAAAACATATTGTTATGTTCTTGCTCTAGGTTGTGTTGGGTCACACCTTAGAGGGTACAACCCAACTCTCTCGACATCCTTGTACCCCCTCCCTCTTACCTAATCCACACTCATTCCTCACCTAGCTAGTGATTCTAACATGGTATTAAGAGCACAATGCTCCTTAGGACCGAATTTTTAAAAGGGCCCACCACTACTATTTCGATCTACTCCCCGAGTCGCGCCCCTAGGAGAAACGCGAAATTCGAACCCGTGCTCTAGGCGAGACGGTTCCTTTTTCTGCCCTAGACGCGATTTTCCTCCCTAGTCACGTGCGACCCCCCCTGACCGCGCCCTAGCTGCCAGTACAGCCGCGTAGGCCCGTCGTGAAGCCCGTACAGCCCGTGTAGGCCCGTCGCGAAGCTCGTACAGCCTGCGTAGGCCCGTCGCGAAGCCCGTACAGCCCGCGCCAGGCCGTCGCGCAGCCCGTACAGCCCACGTCAGGCCCGCACCCAGCTCGTAAAGCCCGCGCTAGGCCCGCACGCAGCCCTTACAGCCCACGCCTGGCCCGCACGCGGCCCGTGTTCCTGCTGCACTCGCTGCTGCTGCTACTTGCTGCAGCTGCTCCTCCTTGCTACTGCTACTACAGCTAGCGCTACTCACTGCTGCTGCTACTGTCGGAGAAACAGCTTTGCCTGCCACCTGCCTTCGTTCTGACTCCCTTCCTCCCTGAAGCTTCTTGTGTTGCCTCAGCCACTCCCTTGAAAGAGACAAAGCTCCCACCTCAAGGGTCCTCCCTGAGTGGTGTGTCACCTAGCCGTAGGATGAAGGTAACAACGATCCACTATATGAAAGAATAACAAGAGAAAAGCAACGAGTGAGTGTGTGTTAGTGAATTTACCTGTCCCTGGCTCGAAGCGTGCATTTCTCAATGTGCGCCTCGAGCCTGGTTTGGTTCATTCGCATTGGTTCCTTGGATTGCACCCCTCGGAGCTCTCCTACCAACTTCGCGACACTCTCCCTGGTTCCCAACTACCTACACCCCAAATGTTCATATTCGGTAATGCTACACCCCACACTACACCACAGCATCACTGGCACCTTATATGCACAACCGTGCATATTCGGTGACACTACTGACGCTACTCCTGTTACAGCTAGCGCTACTCACTGCTGCTGCTACTGAAGCTAGTGCTGCTACAGCTAGTGCTACTGCTGCTGCTGCTACTACGGCCCTTGCTACAGCTGCTACTGACTGAAGCTACGGCTGCTCCAGCTAGTGCTACTGCTGCAGCTCCTACTCCAGCACTTGCTACAGCTAGTGCTACTGCTGCAGCTCCTACTCCAGCACTTGCTACAGCTAGTGCTACTGCTGCAGCTCCTACTCCAGCACTTGCTACAGCTACTATTGACTGAAGCTACTCAAGCTACAGCTAGTGCTACTGCTGCAGCTCCTACTCCAGCACTTACTGCAGCTGCTCCTGACTGAAGCTACTGCTGCTACAGCTAGTACTACTGCTGCAGCTCCTACTACTTCACTTGCTACAGCTAGTGCTACTGCTGCAGCTCCTACTCCAGCACTTGCTACAGCTGCTCCTGACTGAAACTACTGCTGCTTGACTGAAGCTACTGCTGCTACAGCTAGTACTACTGCTGCAGCTCCTACTACTTCACTTGCTACAGCTAGTGCTGCTGCTGCAGCTCCTACTACTGCACTTGCTACAGCTAGTGCTACTGCTGCTCTGCCACTGTGTCCGAGCCGCGCCGCCCAGCCCGAGCTGTCACTGCTGCTGCTACTGCAACTACTACTGCTACAGCTAGTGCAACTCGGTCTACTGCTGCTGCTGCCCGAGCCGCCCTGCTACTGTTGCTACTGGAGGGAGTACTGCTGGGAGTGGTGGAGGTGCGGCCTCCCACCCCCCACCGAACCGCCCTACTGCTGTTACTACTGTTGCTGCTACTACTTGTGCTACTGGAAGTGGAGGAGGTGCTGCTGGGAAGTGGAGGAGGTGCTGCTGGCGCTGTAGGAGCTGGAGGTGCTGGACCTACTCCTGACAGTCACTGTCTGTCATGGCCACTTCCGCGGCAGTTGCTGCGGCCAGGGGTGGACAGCAGCAGGCACTGCTTCTCCCAGACGACCCCACCCCTCGGCAGCTTCGTGAGTGGGTTATTCAGCGAGGTCGTCCTGGTGGTGGAGGTTATCGTTCTGTTAAGACCGCTGCTCTTGGTGTTAGTGAGTCTACTGCCACTCCAGGTGTTAGTCAGTCTGCTGCCATTCCAGGTGTTAGTGAGTCTGTTGCCACTCCTGGTGCTAGTGAGTCTGCTGCAGCTCTAGGTGCCCGTGAGTCTACCGACGCTCTAGTTGCTAGTGCGTCTACTACCACAGGTCCTGCCTCAGCTGAGGTCTTGCACACTTTCACGCTTGACTCCGGCGCGTCACGTTGCTTCTTCCGTGATTGCACCACAGTCACACCACTCACAGCACCTGTCCCAGTCACTGGCTGACCCCTCTGGGGGTCCAGTGGTTGCGAGAGCCTCCATGGTCCTCCCTTGTCCAGCAGTCCCCTCCGGCTCTTTGTCAGGTCTCCACCTCCCCACGTTCTCCACGAACTTGGTGTGCAACGCTGCCATTCACGATGTCTGGGTTGATACCTTTATTCCTGGAGGGCAGCGTGTGGCGATCTATACGTGCTCCCGGACTGGCCGTCACCTGGCTAGGTTCACTCGACAGCCTGGGTCTAGTCTGTACACACTGACCACTGCGTCTGCACAGGTGGCTGAGTCAGGTCAGGTAGCTACGTCGAGTCGAGCGTCTGCGTCAGGGCAGTTAGCTGCGTCTTGCTCGTGCCGAGTACTCACGCACGAGACTCAGTGCTGGCACCACCGTCTTGGTCACCCCTCCCTACAGCGTCTGCGCCGCATGCACTCCTGGCTCCTGGTCACTGGCCTCCCTGAGACCCTGCCCCCCCTCCCGCGCTCACTTGCGCCGCCGTGCCTTCCTGGCGTCGAGGGGCCGCAGCGCGCCGCTCCTCACTCCTCCGAGTTTCCTCCGACCATTGCTCCTCTGCGGACTCTCCACATGGACGTGTGGGGCCCGGCCCCCGTCGGTGGAACGGACCAGGAGCGCTACTTCCTGCTAGTGGTTGACGACTACACACGCTACACCACAGTCTTCCCCTTGCGGCGCAAGGCGGATGTTAGTGGCGTCTTGATCCCCTGGATCCGTGCTACTCGTCACCAGCTGCGCGAGCGGTTTCGGCGGGACTTTCCAGTCCTGCGTCTGCACTCTGACAGGGGTGGTGAGTTCTTCTCTGGCGTCCTTGAGACGTTCTGCGAGGATGAGGGCATCGCCCAGTCGTTCACGCTTCCGGCCTCTCCGCAGCAAAATGGGATCGCTGAGCGTCGCATTGGCCTGATCATGGAGGTTGCTCGTACCTCCATGATCCATGCGGCTGCTCCCCATTTCCTGTGGCCGTTTGCGGTCCGATACGCCGTACATCAGCTCAACCTCTGGCCCCGTGTCTCTGCTCCAGAGACCTCGCCCACACTCCGCTGGATGGGACAGCCTGGTGATGCGTCGTCGTTTCGGGTCTGGGGCGCGCTCTCCCTTGTTCGCGATACCAAAGCGAGCAAGCTCTCCCCTCGCACTCTTCGCTATGTCTTCCTAGGCTTCCCCACCGACGCTTCACCCTGGCAGTTCTACCACCCAGCCTCGCGTCGTGTTCTATCCTCTCAAGATGTCACCTTTGACGACTCGGTCTGTTGCTACCGACTTCACCCGCACGCGTCCCACCCGGTCCCTCTCGCACCTCTCTTCTTGGTACCAGTCCCCCATCCGGTAGACCCCCTTCCCCCACAGGGTCCTGCTCCCTCACGTGTGTCCCAGGTAGACCCACCCCCCTTGGATGAGCGAGTTGAGATCTCTTGTGACTCCTCTGACTCACCTGAGGGGGGTGACGCCGTCACCGACGACACGGCGACCACTCGCCGCACTCTTCGCTTGGAGACCCCCCCGGGTTTCCCGCCACGGCCGTCTTCGCCGCCTCCGCAGCCTGCTGCTGTGGACTCTGGAGCTGAGACTACTGGAGCTGGGGCTGGGGCTGGTCAGTCCGGGGGTGCCCGCTCTCCTCGTCTGGCTACACCCCTCGGGTTCCCTCCTCTGCCGTCTTCGCCGCCTGTGCAGCCTGCTGCTGTGGACACAGGAGCAGAGACTGAGGGTACTGAGCTCGGGGGTGCTGCGACTGAGGGTACTGAGCCTGCGAGTGCTGAGACCGAGGGTCCTGCCTCTGAGGGTGCTGCGAGTTCGGGTGCTGACTCTGGGGGTGCTGCAAGTCCTTCTGGTGTTGGTGTCGTCGGAGCTCCTTCCGTAGGACATGGAGCTACTGGTGCTGGAGGTACTGGAGGTACTGCTGGTGCTGGAGGTCCTGGAGGTGCTGCTGGTGCTGGAGGTCCTGGAGGTGCTGGAGCTACTGGAGGTGCTGCTGGTGCTGGAGGTCGGGGAGCTGCAGGTGCTGCTGGTCCTGGTGGAGCTGCTGGTGCTGGAGGTACTGGAGGTGCTGCTGGTGCTGGAGGTCGTGGAGCTGCTGGTGCTGGAGGTACTGGAGGTAGTGCTGGTGCTGGAGGTCGTGGAGCTGCTGGAGCTGCTGGTGCTGGAGGAGCTGGAGCTGCTGGGGCTAGAGGTGCTGGAGGTGCAGGAGGTCCTGGTGGAGCTACTGGTGCTCTTCGCCACCTTCTCAGTCTTCAGCCAGGTGCTACTGGTTTCCCTGTGGCAGGTACTACTCCTCCGTTGCTGTGTCCACCGACGGACCAGTCACAGCCGCCGCTGCTACCACACTCCCCACTGCCCGCTCCTGCTCCTTACACTGCGGTGTCAGAGTCCTTGACTGAGCGTCAAGAGCCTGAGACTCGTGCTTCCACCCCTAAGCGTCGAGAGCCTGAGTCTAGCTTTGACCTTGAGCCTGAGCCTAGAGCTGCTGTCCGAGCTCGTGTTCCTCGTGTTCGTCGTCAGCGTGCTCCGGCTGTCCCCGGCACTCACGATATGACACTCCGTCCTTCCTTTGTTCCTCAGCGTGTTGTCCTACCGTTACCTCCTGCGTCCTCTTTGCCTGACATTGCTGACCCTCCGTCTGACCTTGCTTGTGCGTCCAGTCCGACTGTTACTCGCCTTCTTGCTACGGTTGTGACGAACCCTGCGTTCTCGTCTCCTGCTACGTCTGCCCTAGTAGCTGAGCTCGTTGACTTTGCTGCTGTGTACCGCCTCGACTACCTTGCGAGTCTTGTCTCTGACCCTGTCCCTGCCTGTCCTCCGTCCGTCGGGGGTGAGACTGCACTGCCCTTAGCTGTGACGTTCTTGAGGACAGACAGGAGGAGATGGAGTGCCTTGCTGCAGCTTCACCCCATCACGCGACCATGCTGCTTGCCCCTGAGGGAGACCCGGATGAATTTGACATCGCCACCCCGCGCTCCTACAGGGAGGCGATTTCGGGTGAGTACTCCTCTCAGTGGCAGACAACCATGGACGCAGAGATGGCTTCCTGGAATTCCACAGGCACCTACGTCGACGAGGTTCCCCCACCTGGGGCGAACATCGTCAGTGGCATGTGGATTTTCAGGGTGAAGCGGCCGCCGGGTTCTCCGCATGCCTTCAAGGCATGTTACGTTGCTCGAGGCTTCAGACAGCGTGAGGGGGTCGACTTCTTTCAGACCTTCTCGCCCACCCCGAAGATGACCACTCTTCGGGTGTTGCTACACGTTGCAGCTGAGCGTGACTACGAGCTGCACTCCCTCGACTTCTCGACAACTTTCTTGCAGGGTAGCCTTCACGAGGCCATCTGGTTGCGCCGTCCACATGGCTTCACTGGGTCGTTTCCTGCGGGTACTCAGTGGAGCCTACGACGACCAGTGTACGGCCTGCGTCTGGCACCCCATGAGTGGCACGACACACTGAGGACTACGCTTGCGGCTCTTGGGTTTGCTCCTTCGAGTGCTGACCCGTCGCTGTTTCTACGCACCGACACTACTCTGTTGCCGTTCTACATCCTCGTGTATGTCGACGACTTGGTTTTTGCTACTGCTGACACTGAGGCACTGGCCCTAGTGAAGGCGGAGCTGCAGGAGAGACACACCTGCACTGACCTGGGTGAGCTGTGGAGCTATCTTGGCTTGCAGATCACCCGGGACAGACCACGGCGCACCATCACCCGGACTCAGTCACACATGGTGCAGCAGGTCCTTCAGCGCTTCCGCTTCACGTACTCCTCGCCACAGCCCACTCCTCTGGCTACCGGCCACTCGCTCTCAGCTCCACCTTCGGACGAGTCCGTAGAGCCGAGTGGTCCGTACCCAGAGCTTGTGGGCTGCCTCATGTACCTGATGACGTGCACACGACCTGACCTCGCGTACCCTCTCAGCCTTCTGGCTCGCTACGTGGCACCCGGCACGCACCGAAAGGTGCACTTTGATGCTGTAAAGAGGGTACTACGTTACTTGTGCAGCACATCGGGCATGGGGCTCGTGCTTGGAGGACGGGGTTCGGTGGTTCTTACAGGACACTCTGACGCCTCTTGGGCCGACGACCAGGCGACTCAGCGTTCGTCACAGGGCTACACTTTCAGTTTTGGCGCTGGTTCCATCTCGTTGAGGTCCACTCGTTCTTCTTCGGTGCTTGGTTCCAGTTGTGAGGCCAAGATCTACGCTGGGGCCATGGCTGCACAGGAGCTCCGCTGGCTGACCTACCTGCTGACCGACTTGGGGGAGCGGCCTCGTTCTCCTCCAGTTCTGTACGTCGACAACAAGGCAATGCTTGCCTTGTGTCGCGAGCAGAGACTGGAGCACAGAACAAAGCACATTGCTCTGCGCTACTTCCTTGCGCGTGAGCTGCAGCACCGTGGTCAGCTGCGCCTTGCTTTCGTGGCTTGTCGGGCCAACACTGCTGATGTCTTCACCAAGGCCCTTGGGGCTGGTGATCATCAGCGTTTCTGCACTACTCTTGGGCTTGTGCCCACTCTACCTCACCTACTGGTTGCTTGACTTGCTCTTGTTGTACCCTGCTATATATATCTTTATACCTGCATGTTTACTTTTGCTAGGTTGTAATCGGTGTACTGCCTTGCTATTATAAATCTGCAAGTGAACTGGCCTTGTGACCGCTTGCTTGTGCTCATATTGTGTGGTGTCCTTGAGATCCACCCTGGGCTTTGCCTTGTTTGTTCTCTTGCTTGACTGGTCTTGTGACCACTGTTAGGTTTGGCTATCCCCTTCTTCACCTATGGGGGTGTGTCAAAACATATTGTTATGTTCTTACTCTAGGTTGTGTAGGGTCACACCTTAGAGGGTACAACCCAACTCTCTCGACATCCTTGTACCCCCTCCCTCTTACCTAATCCACACTCATTCCTCACCTAGCTAGTGATTCTAACACCACGGACCCGGTCACGACCGCGGGGTGGTTTGACGACGAGGGCGAGGAGAACGCGGACAAGTGCGCATGGGACTATGGCGGCACCAAGAGTGGGACCTTGCAGAACGGGCAGAGCTACGAGTACAATGTGGTGGGGCTGAGCGGCATGAAGTTCCTGGTGCAGCTTAACTGGGACCGCGTCAAGAGCACGTGCGTCCTGTAGAACGCCCTCCTCACTGATGGTAGCGGCAGCGGGGGCACTCCGTCCCCTCCTCCCCTGCCAACTCCCTGCCCTCCCTCCGCCCCTCATCCCCTGACTGGAGGCAGTGTGAAGATGAGGTGTGATTGCAACTGTGCGAGTGCCAGCAATCCCATGAGCTGCCAGTGTTCCTGCACCAAGACAAGGTGAAGAGTTAGGAGGAGATCACCTGTGCCTTGTGGGGTGGACGCTGCACTAGGCTCATCAGAAACTTACGGATGGCTGCTTGCCTCCAGTGATTAGCAAGCAGCGGTAGGCTGTTGCTCAAGTATTTATTGCTGATTAGTTGCCTTTCTCCCACGTCTTCTGCCGTTTTCCTCGTGTCTTATGTTATTCTCACATCGCATACCGTATGGTTGGTTGCAAGGAATTGGTTGTGCAAGTGCGTACGAGTACCATATATACCCAGGAAAGCAGACCCTTGTAATGAACTTCCCGCCTAGCTTGGGTTATTTCCATATTGTCTCGCAGCCTTCATAGTGTTGTCAGTTCATACAATCAAGTCTTTGTTATCTGTTATTTCTTGCGAGCTCTGTTTAACAGATAGTAACATTTCCATTGTAACCGTTGATTCGCACAGCTTCAGAGGTTACTCGTCGCACAACCCCCGTCGTCAATAAATCTCCTTTGGCTCCACGCTCTTTCCAACTGGTCTGTGTTGGAGCTTTGACGCTCGACTCAACGCCGGCTTTGGAGAGGTGAGCTGCTATTAGGAGTTCAGTACTGACGTTCATTTAGGAGGTCTCGAGTCCAACCAGTGACTCTTTGCTTTCCGCGCTTTAGCGGATCGGTTTTAGCTACGAACTGGTTCCTCTACGGAGTGCAGGCAAATCGCAATTCTCGATTCCGTCCATTCGCCTGGCCGCAATTCTTGCTTCAGATTTTTCTGACAGCTTTTCGCTGCAAGGGAAAGGAGCATAGAGTTTTGCTGTTCGCTACAGAGCGAGAGTCGGTGACGCGAGTTCATGACTTCGCGCTTCCTCCCTTCCTTTCTCGCTCGCCTCTCTCGGTTCGTCCTTTCTGTCCGGCATTTGCCACGCGCATCGCATGATAATCCTTGCCCTTAGATCCGACCAAAGGAATCCTAAAAGCACTCTTCTATATGTTTCTCGCATGATAATTCGTGCGATAAAAAGCTTGGTGTGACGGTTTGAACCTCCAGGTTTAGGGTCCGAAGGGTTTAGAGGTCAAGTTTTAGGGTTTCAGCTCCTCTTCGCAACTCTGACCGTTCGTCGGACCTTCATCCCTTCTGTCTGCTGCCTCGCAACCTTGATCGTATCACTCTCCATCTGCTGCACTCTCTCTTATTCTCTAATTTTCCTTCATTCTCAGCCCTCTCCTCTTCTTCCAAGGTTAAGGGGTTGGGGTTTCCTTTCTTTCCTCCGTTTTAAAATGTCTTAGCCCATTTCATATTCTTATTCTCCCAGCCACCCCCCTCCGTAACTCCCTCCAATCTCCTTGGCCCCCACTTCCCCCCCGGCCGCCCCACCCGTTCCTGCATTCCCCTCCCTATTTTCTCATACCAATCCCCACAATACCCCACACGCCACACCTTCCCATCCCCATCTCTCTTTCCACACCCGGCATTCTATGCACCTCAGGCAGACCGTCTGCAAGGGGTTTCCATCCCTTGCCAGCGCACCTTCCGCCGCAAGTCGCGGCGTGCATTTCTGCACCTCCATGGCCCCTGCCCCCGCGCCGACCGCTAAAACCCTCACCCCCCCGCTCACCGTCTTGAAGCGCACTCTCTCCATGGACGCCGGACCCGCCAGCGGCGCCGCAAAGCCCGCCGTACAGTCCGGTCACGCGAAAAAGCCACGGGTGAGGCAGATCGTGCGAGCAACAGGCGTGGGGCCTGCAGGGATGGGGACACCCGTCGCCGCCGCCGCCGCCGCCGGTATCACCGGCGCCGGTACCGCCGGCGCTGCGACTGCTGGGGTTGCCGCGCAGACGAGGCAAGGTATGCCCAGCGGTGGCGGCGCTGCTGCCGCGAGTGGCGGCGCTGGTGGCGGCGCAGGTGGCGAAGGTGGCCGTGGCGGTAGGAGGGGGAGGCGGAAGCCGCAGCAAACGAGCGCAGGTTCGAGGGAGGTGGCGCAGCCGCAGCAGCAGCAGCAGCAGCAGCAGCAGCAGCAGCAGCACGGCCACCACCGCCACCACCACCAGCACCAGCACCAGCACGCAGCGGTGGTGCAGCCGATTCGAGAGGTGGATTTAGAGGCGATCAAATCCGTCATCACTGACGTCAGGTGAGCTCGCTGCGTGCGTTGCGCGGTGTGCGATGCGCTGTGTGCCTGTGAGTCTGTGCTATTGTTTCTGCTGCCGCAATGGGGGAGGGAGCGCAGGGCGAAGAGGAATGGGGTGTGTGGGAGCAGGAAGAGTGGGTTTGTTACAGAGAGGTGCTGGTTGTCGGGTTCGGGGCTGGGAAGGTGCAACGCCAGTACTTCATGACCCGTGCGCTGCTCTTTAATCTCTCCTTACCTTCCGAATTCCCGTTTATTTTTTTCCGTCTTCTCTTTCTGAAATCCTTACCCTCCATCAATCCCCGTCCCACATTATCCTCTCTCCCTCCCTCCAACGTTCACGTGCCCGACATTCTAATTACCTCAGCACAGCCGCTGTTCCAGTCGTCCCCGTTGCCCTGCTTCCCACTTCCACCCATAAACCCTGTACCACTCCACTTCATCCCATCAACTCCCCGCGCCCTCCCCCTTAAACCCTCCCCGCTGCCCCTCCCCCCCCGCGCCCTCCTTATACGCGCAGGTTCGACTCGTTCCCGCTGTCGGCGCAGATGCTCGCGGCGGTGCAGCAGGGTTTCGGGTTCCAGCTCTGCACCAAGGTGCAGGCGGAGACCATGCTGCCCGTACTCAACGGTACGCCCCTTCACCCTGCGCCCCTTCCCCTGCGCCCCTTCCCCTGCGCCCCTTCCCCTGCGCCCCTTCCCCTGCGCCTGAAGTGTCTCTCTGATGTGTCTGTCTGCACACACACTCGATTCTCCCGAGTCTCCTTCTCTGCTCTCCCGCCCTCCTTCTCCCTCTCAGTCACGCACACAGCTATGCACTGTTCTCGCTCTCTTACACCCCCAACCCCCCGCCCCCCACAACCTTCTCTCTCTCCACCCTGCGTTCCCCTCCCTTCCCCCCTCTTCCTCCCCTCGACGCGCCTGTGCGGGTGCAACCACGACCGGCTATCAGGCATGGATCTGCTGGCCAAGGCCAAGACAGGCAGCGGAAAGACCATTGCCTTTCTCGTCAGTTCCACCCACTGCTCTCGCCCTGCCCCCTCCCACCCCTCTCGCCCTCCCCTCCGCCCTCTTTCGCCCTTCTCTCCCCCCCCCCCCCGCTCTCTCCTCCATCACCCCCTCCCTTCCTCTTCTCGACCTTCTCTCCCCCCGCCTTCTCGCCTTCTTTTCTCCTCTCCCGTCACCGCATTCGCCTGGGCAAGTCCGCATCGCGCATTTCGCCTCCTCCTTCCCATTCTCAGCACAGCTGCTACATGTGTCCCGTCCCTTGTTGAGTCCACTCAACAGTCATCCCTCTGCCCCTCTCGTCCCCTCACCCCCCACCTACCCGCCCACCCACCCCTTCTATGAGGCTCACGTTTTTTTTTTTTTTTTTTTTTCTCTCTCTCTCTCTCTCTACAAAAATCACGTTCTCGTGCATCTGCGATTTCCTCCGCCCCTCTGCCGTATCATTCCCTCACCAACCGTCCGTCGTCCATTCTTTCACACTCACTCAACTCCCCTCCTCTCCACCATCACCTGACCTGACCACGTCTTACCAAAACACCACGTTCTCCTCGCGCCTACATTTGCCTTGCCTTTTCATCCCCGCCGCCCCTGCTTCCTTCCTCTCCCTTCCGTATCCACCCCGTGAACCCGTTCCCTCGCCCGTTCCTTCATTCCTTCTGCACTCTATATACTCTAGTTTCGGCTATACCCTCTTTTGAGCTTTACCTACTTTGCTTGTCAGACGATCTAAATGCCGCTGCTTCCCCAAACCCTTCCCGTTTAAGTCGCTTCGAACCCCTCCAAATCCTCTTCCCCCCCTTCCCCCACCCCCCGCCCCCGTCCTCCCCCTCCCCCCGCCCTGCGCCCGCTCCAACCGCCGCCACTCCCCCAGGTGCCCACAATCGATAGGCTCCTGCGCGGGCCGCCCTCCCCGCGCTTCTTCCAGGGCGGAACAGCAGTGCGCGTGCTGGTGCTGGTGCCCGCGCGCGAGCTGGCGGCGCAGGTGCAGGCGGAGGCGCAGCAGCTGCTGCAGGGGCAGGGGGGCGTGGGCGTGCAGGTGGTGTTCGGCGGAACGGCCATGGGGAAAGAGATCCGCCGCATGGAGAACTCCCCTTGCCAGGTGCGCGGGGGGGAAGGGTGTGGGGGGCGGGGAGGGGGAGGGGGGGGGGGGGGAGGGGGAGGGGGAGGGGGAGGGGGAGGGGAATGGAGGAAGGGGAGGGGGGAGAGGGGAGAGAGGGGGGGTTGGTTGGTGGGTTTAAAAAGGAGGGGGAACACTTGGGGGTGTTGAGGTGGTGAGAAGGGTGGGAATGCGGTGCTGCTACAAAGTGAGCGAGCCCGTTATAGTCGCCTTGTGTGACTGACAGGTCGTGTTGTGTTGTGCCTGTATTGGGTTGACGAGGCGCAGAGGCAACGATTGGCATGGGTGGTGCAGGGAAGGGCGGGAAGGGGAAACGAAGGATTGGCAGGGGCAAGGCAAGGGAGACGGTGCAGGACGGGGGTTGCGTGTGGTGAGGGTGAGGATGAGGATGAGGATGAGGATGAGGATGTCTGAAGTGAAGAAGAAAGGAGGAATGGTTCAGGTCAGGACGTTGGTGCCACCCACTGCTGCTGGGGGCGTGGCTGGGGTGGGGCTGCTGTGATTTCGAGCGAGGGAAGGATATCACGCGCACCTGTTCAACGCCTCAATGCGAACTGTTGCTCCCATCCCATGCCACGCTAACCCCCACCGCTGTTCCTGCCAAACCGCTCTGCTCGTATCATTAACTTATCTTCCCCCCACCTCTCCTCCCCTCCTCTCCCGACGCCCTTCCATGCCCTCCCCGCCCCTTCCCCCCGTCCCTGTTTTCCCCCTCTCGTCTCTCCCCGCGTGCTCGCGTCGCTCCGGCGCCCCTCGCCCCCTGTGCCCTCGTTCCCCCGCTCCCCCTGCCGTCCCCGCGGCAGCTGCTGATAGCAACGCCAGGGCGATTGTTGGACCATCTGAAGAACACGCAAGGCATGCAGGAGCGCGTGCAAGACGTGCAGGTCAGTGCCTGCATGCCGTCTGCCCTGTCTGCCCCCTCTGCCCTCTACGTTGCCACGCATGGCTGTGATGTGACGGGGGAAAGAGAGGAGGCGAGTGAGGGAGGGGGATGAGATGAGGGGGTTGAGGGAGGGAGTGAGATGAGGGAGTTGAGGGAGGGGGTGAGTGAGATGAGTGGTTCAGGGGGTGAGATGAGGCGAGATAAGAGAAGGATGAACTGCTTGCTAGTGGTGTCGTGCTCGTGCCTCAGCTTCTTAGTCCTTTTGCCGCTCCGCCTCCTGCCCTCTCAACTTCCCTCTCCCTGTCTCCTCCACTCCACCCACGAATCCTCCCTCGCTTCGCCCTTCTCCCCCCCTTCGTTCCTCATCTTCGTTGTACACACGATTCTGCTCATGCCCGGCTTGCCTCCTGTCCCCTCATTTCCTCCGCACACCCCCCCCTCCCTCCTCCCCCCTTATCGTCTCTCTCCTCCCACCACCCCCCACCCCTCTCTCTCTCCCTCCCCCTCAGGTGCTGGTACTGGACGAGGCAGACCGCATGTTGGACATGGGGTTCGCCAAGGACCTGCAGGCCATCATGTCGTATCTGCCCTCCGCCCGCCAGACGCTGCTCTTCTCCGCCACCATGCCCACTCAGGTGCGCTGCTCAGGGCTTGTACACGGGCGGAGAGGAGGGGAAACCGGGAGAGGGGAGGGGAGGGGGAGAGGTGGGAGGAGGGAGGGAGGGAGAGAGGGTAGAAGGGGGCGGGGAATGAGGCTGCGGGCGAGGGAAAACGGAGGGGGTTTGAGAGGGGAAAGGTGGAGTGGGTTTAGCATGAGCTTGGGGCTTTGGAGAAGGAGTGGGCTGGAGCTTTCGAGCCGCTTCTGCAGACGCGATCCTAACCTAATTGAAGTGTGTCCCTTCCACCACCGCCCGTTTGTGTGTGAACGTGTCTCTGTGTGTGAACGAACGTGACTGTGTACGGGTATGCGATTGTGCGTGCGTGCATGTGGCATCATCAGGTGCAAGCGATGTCGAAGCAGGTGTTGAGGCGGGAGTTCAAGCACGTGGACGTGGTGGGAGAGGAGGACGCCGATACCAACATCCAGGTCAGTCGCCCTCTCTCGCTAACAACCCCTTGTTACCTTCTCACTCGCACCTACACTCTCTCTCCCACCCGCACACTCTCTCCACGTTCCAACTCGCCCTCTGCAGCCATGCCTCCCTTGCCCTTTTACTCACGCCAACCCATTCTCCCTCTCACGCCATCCCTTTTCTGCCATGTGACGCCACGTGGCGTATGTGCATCCCCCTGCCGTCCGTGCGTGTGCTTGCATGCGCGTACGTGTGTGCTTGTCTCTCCCCCCCTCTCTCTCGCGTTCTCGCCCTGTGCATGTGGCTCAGGTGAGGCAGGAGCACCTGGTGGTGCCACTGGAGGAGCAGCTCACGACCATGTACACGCTGCTGCTACAGCACTGCCAGGAACAGCCCGATTACAAGGTAAGCTTGATCCACTGCAAGGTACAGTTGATTGTAAGTTAGGGTTTCTTCAAAGGTGAGGCAGGAGCACCTGGTGGTGCCACTGGAGGAGCAGCTCACAGCCATGTACACGCTGCTGCTACACCACTGCCAGGAGCAGCCCGATTACAAGGTACGCCTCATTCATTGCAGGCTAGGGTGATTTCCAAGCTGCTGCTGATTGCAAGGTAGGGCCGAGGTCTCACTGTGCCGATGACACATGGATGTGGGTGTGGGGTGATGCGTGCAAGCAAGCATTCTTGACCAGCGCTAGCAGACCTGGCCACCAGTATGTGTGTTGCACGTGCGCGTATGTTCGCTGCGTGCGTGCTTGCCTGCATTCGTTCCTGTGTGCCTGGGTTCACATGAAGCTGCTGCTGCACACTGATTCATGCTTGTGGCACGAATTATCATTTGCTCTCATGCATGGTACCCTTTACATGTCTGCTCGTCTCTGCTTCTGACAAAGCTCTAGCATGCACATTGATTGATCAACGGTGAATGCATGGATGCATGCATCTTATATGCCTCCCCACCAGCCCTCAGCCGGTCCATCTCGCGTCGCCACATGACCTTACCTGCCATCTGCACCATGGCCACAATGAGCAGCAGAGGACCACATGACCGCATACCCATCCCCTCCCCTCTTCTCCCCTCTCCATTCCCCTTTCCCGTCCTCTCCCCTCTCCCTTCCCACTTTCCCCCCTCCTTCTCCTCCCCTTCCCACCAGGTGCTGGTGTTCTCAGTGACAGCCAAAATGACAGCATTCTACGCGGCGCTCTTCGCCTCGCTCCTCCCCGGCGCCACCATCCTCGAGATCCACTCACGCAAGTCGCAGGCGCACCGCACGCGCGTGTCGGGGGAGTTTCGAGCGGCCAAGGGGCGGGTCGTGATGTTCACCAGTGACGTGTCTGCTCGTGGGGTTGACTACCCGGATGTTTCCTTGGTGCTGCAGGTGTGTGTGGGTGCCGGTTGGTGGGGTTCTGGGTTTGGGGGGGGGATGGTGGGGTGGTGAGCTATGTTGGCAGAAACGTGCTGGGGGGTGGGGGCGTATCGCGTACATACACCAGCGAATATACGAAATACAAAATGCGCTTGGAAAGTGCTAAAATACGCTCGGGTAGCCCGTAAAAACAATATTTGGAAATAGTTTGCGACAATCTTGTCGGGAACTGTTACCTCGATTTCGCACAGCAGCACCCAACCCAACACCATTTTGAAATTCAAAATTTAGACCGCAATCCCCCCCATCGACCCTCGCTCAACGTCGCAAAACCAACCTCCCCCACTTATTCACCCAAAGCACATCCCTCCCCCTTCACCCTCCCCTTTCCCCTTCCCACTTTTTCCTTTCCCCGATCTCCCACCCGTTCCCCCCCTTGGCAGGGGGGTCTACCCGCGGACCGAGCGCAGTACATCCACCGCCTGGGGCGCACTGCACTGCCACACACAAACACACCACCCGCGCCTTCTCACCCCCATCCCCTTGCTTTCCCAACCCCCTCAATCCCTCCCCCTTATCCCCTCCCCACAGGTGGGTCTGCCCGCGGACCGAGCGCAGTACATCCACCTCCTGGGGCGCACGGCAGTGTGACTCACACATGCCACCACTTCTCACCCCCGTCCCCTTGCTTTCCCAACTCCTCTACATTCCATGTTTCCCGCTCCCTCCCCCTCCCCCTCCCCCCCCAGGTGGGTCTGCCCGCGGACCGAGCGCAGTACATCCATCGCCTGGGGCGCACGGGCAGGGCGGGCAAGGAGGGGCACGGCGTGCTGCTGCTGTCGCCGTGGGAGAAGCCCTTCCTGCCCAAGCTAGCAGGGCTGCCCATCACCCCGCACAAGCCGCTGGACCCACTTAGTGCGCAGAACGAGCACAAGGTGAGGCACATGGGTGACTGTTTTTTGTGGGGGGCAAGTGATGAGATGTGCGTGTGGGTTGGAAGACGAGATGAGAGGTTGGAGTGGACTGAGCGAGGGCAAGGGGGGCTCAGATTCTCAGCTTATACATTGTGCCTCAGGCCACTTTCTGTGCCTGCACTGATGAGCACACATGGGGGACCCTCCTTTTGCTACATTGCATGCACGGATTCTTCTTACTGGTCGTCCCTTGTGCCTCCTCTCGACCCTTCCCCTTCCTACCCATTTCCTCTGTCCCTCCTCTCTTTTCGAAAGCCGGATTTCTCCTCCACTCACCTCCCTCTCTCTCCCTCCCACTCTCCCCTTCCCCCGCCTCCCTGCAGCTCAACGATGCTCTTTCCAGAGTGGAGACAGCAGCCAAGGACCAAGCATACGTGGCCTTCCTAGGCTACTACAACTCCAACCTCAGGCTGCTCAAGTGGACGCCTCAGATGCTTGTGGCCACAGGGAACGAGTTTGCAGAACTCATGCAATGCCCTGAGCAGCCGGCTATTGAGCCCAGGTTGCTGGGCAAGATGGGTTTGAGGAAAGTGGCGGGCATTCGAGAGGCGGGGCGGGATCAGATCAAAGGGTACCAGCAACAGCAGCAGAGGCAGGAGCCGGTCAAGGGCCGAGGGGGGAGGAGGTGGTGATGGGTGTTGTGTTGACTTCTGTGGTGGTGGGAGAAGGGTGGGGCAAGGGGAACGGGAGTGGGTGTGGGGATAAGTGGGTGAGTTGTCCTCGTGTTCTTTCATTCATTTAAGGGCATCTGCATCACTCTAGAACCAGTATTAAATTACAATGGTATGGTATAATGATCATCCCATCTGTTTTAGCACTTCCTCTAGCAGAGCAACACAATCGGACGCCAGCATGGATGTAAGGAATTGGAATTCCTAACTGTAGTCTTCCTTTAAACGAGGACAATGAGAGGGTCACACATCAGCCCACAATCTCGTCCCAAACCATCCCAGAACTGCCTCGCACCACTCTCAAACCTATTGAGTCTCATTTACCCGACATCCCCGCTTAGCCTAGCAAGAAATCACCTTTTATAATCATCCTGTCACTTTCTTCGAACCATCTCCCCGGAGATACCCGTACCAGTAAGGACACATGTATGCTAACGTGTTTGGTTGGAAGGGTGTAGTACCGTACATGTTTTCTGAGAAGCTTTATTTCGGGTAATATAAACAGAGCAGTGTGTAGTAGTACCTTGTGTTATTGGATGCCGATCCAATGCTATCACTCCAGTTTCACATTTGCACATCATCCCTCCCCTTGTCCTTTGTCCCCACATACTCGGCCTTACCCATCCTCCCCCTCACAACATGCACTTTACTCGCACAAACGCCCACCTCCACCCCTTCCTCAGCCACCCCACTACCATACACATCCACGTGCCTCAGCACCCTCGCCTCTCTGAGTGACTCCGGTAAACAATTGAGTGCAACACACTCCCTCAAATGAAGCGCGGCAGCAGGCCTACGGTGGGTGGGAGGGAGAGCAGGTGCTTGCAGAGGCTGAAGCAGGCCACTCGGAGGGCAGGCAGTGAGGAGGAGCTGGGAAGGTGCGTGAAGGAGTCGCATTCGATGATAACGAGGTGAGTTAAACGGCGCAGCAAGCCAAAGGTCTCAGGAAGGGAGGAGAATTCCGGGCAGTTGGAGATGCTGAGAGTTGTCAGGGAGGGAAGAGCGGAGAAAGATTCGGGCAGATGGTGAAACGTGTTGCACGAGTCGACAAAGAGACACTGCAGGGAGGATAGAGAGCAGAAGTTGCAAGGCAGGGTGGTGAGATAATTGCAGCTGGTGAGAGTGAGCGTGCGCAGGCGAGGGAGGGGGCAGAAGGAGGGAGGCAGGCGAAATCTGTTGGAACAATGAACCAAGGAGACCTCCTCGAGGGAGGATAAGCCGACTAGTGTGTCAGGCAGATAATCCCTCGATCCACTGTGGATACTCAGCTTCTTCAAGGCTGCCAGGCAGCCAAACCCCGGGGGCAGGGTTTCCAGACTATGGCACGAATGAATGGTGAGCTCTTCGAGGCGCGACAGCTTCGAAATCCCACTGAGCAGGTGCTCTAGGTAGTTGCTAGCAAGGAAGAGGCGGCGAAGGGAGGATAGTGTCAAACTATATGTCTATGTCATAATAAAATGCAGGCTTTAGTGGGGTAGCTAATGTAGGGTATAGGTTTTGTTACTTGTACCCAACTTTCTCGATAGTGCAACCACCATTCCCTTTACTCTCGACATGGTATTAAGAGCAACATAGGTCATTAGGACCGTTTTAGGACTGTTTTTCAGGGCCCACCAACCGTTTTCCGCCGATTACCGCGTTACCCCGCCCCTTGCCTACACTGCCCTGAGTCGCGCAGCCCTCGCGCTCGCCTCTGCTGGCCCTCGTACAGCCCGCTAGCAGCCCGCCTGCTGCCTCGTCAGCCCCGCGCGTAGCTCGCTAGCTGCCTCGTCAGGCCCGCGCGCCGCCCCGCAGCCCTCGCGCTGCCTTCTCCTGCCCCGCGCGCCGCCCCGCAGCCCTCGCGCTGCCTTCTCCTGCCCCGCGCGCCGCCCCGCAGCCCTTGCGCTGCCTTCTCCTGCCCCGCGCGCCGCTCCGCAGCCCTCGCGCTGCCTTCTACTGCCCCGCGCGCCGCCTCTCAGCCCTCGCGCTGCTTGTACTGACCCGCGAGCGCACAGCCAGCCCGCTGCCTCGTCAGCACCGTGCGACGCCTGCACAGCCCGCCCGCTGCCTCGCCAGCCCCACGCACTGCCCTCCCACTGCCTTAAGCAGTGCTCGTACTGCCCTCCCACTGCCTTAACAGCCCTCGTGCTGCCTTAACAACCCTCCCACTACCTTAACAGCCCTCGTGCTGCCTTAGCAGCCCTCCCACTGCCTTAACAGTCCTCGTGCTGCCTAAGTCGCCCTCGTGCTGCCTTAGTAGCCCTCGTACTGCCCGAGCAGCCCTCGTACTGCCCTTCCTCCGCCCTTGCTGCCCGTGCCCTGTTCGTGCTGCCTCCTGCCTACTGCCTTTTCCTGCACTACGATTATGGCGACACTTAATGTTATCGCGTTTGAGCCTGACGGTCGCCCGATAGAGTCTACCACGTGGCTAGACGATCTCCAACCGTTTCTTCTGACTAATGCCAAAGACGGCGTTTCACTGCTCGATTATGCGTCTGGCACTGCCGTTGCTCCTGCTGACGATGCTACCGCTCTCGAACGCTCACAGTGGCAGACTCGCGATGCTGCTGCATGCCTAGCTATTCGAAATCATCTGCCGATCACTGAGCGCGCGCATTTTAGCTAGCGCAAAACTGCTAAGGCACTGTATGACGCTGTAGTTGCGCGCTACTCCTCCCCGGCCACTGCAGCCCTAGGTCGGCTCATGCTACCCTATCTGTTCCCAAACGTGTCCTCGTTAACCACTGCTGAGGACCTCAATTCTCACCTTCGCGCTAGTGACACTCGCTTTCGTGCCGCCCTTCCAGTCGAGTTCTGCGCCGAGAACCCCCCCCCCCCCCCCCCCCCCCCGCGATGTACTTCACTCTCTATTTCCTCGTCACTCGCCTCCCTGACACTCTTAGCTCCGTCAGGGACCACTTCCTAGCCCTAGAACCTACCACTCTCACTGTCGCCGACTTCGAGAAGCACCTCCTAGCAGTAGAGAAAAACATCCTCGCTGTAGGTGCTGCTCGTGGTACTCCTCGCACTCCCCTCTTTGAGGGGTGCTCCCCCTCCCCTCTTACCCCCTCCTACGCCTCCGCAGCTGCTGCTATCGACCTCCTTGGTGCTGAGAAGGTCGCAGCTGCTTCCGCTCCTAGTGGGAAGCGCAGCGGCTCCAGGGGAGGCAGGGGTGGCGGACGTGGCAGTGGAGGGGGCGGTGGTGGAGGTGGTGGGGGTGGTCGTGCGGGTGGAGGTGGTGGTGGGGGCGGTGGTGGTGCTGGGAGCAGTGGCGGTGGCGGCGGCGGTGGTGGCAGAGGGGGGAGTGGTGGTGGCGGCGGTGGTGGGGACTTGGGTGACACCAGTGGTGGCCAGGGGCAGCAGCAGCATCAGCAGCACCAGCAGCAGCCGCAGCAGCGTCAGCGCAAGACCCCCACTTCCCAGCAGCTTCTTGACTGGTATGTCGGGCGTGGGGCGTCTGGGGGTCCTAGTCGCTGCCCCTATATCATTCGCGCAGGTCCCCGCGTTGGTCACCAGTGCACCGGCTTTCACACTGAGTACCGCTACTTCGCTCGACTTAGCGACGCCTCAAGTTTCCTCATGCTACTGAGTTCCCCATCTGGGCAGATTTGCTTAGGCATGATGTACATATCTTTGATCTTGACTATGATGCTATTGTTGCTGCCATGTATGCATTGACTGTTAGTGCTGAGGGTGACAGCTACTTGTGTTCTGCAGCTCTAGGTGCTAATGAGCCTACTCTCCCTGGTACTGCGTCCGCACAGACCTTGCACACCTTTACACTTGACTCTGGTGCTTCCCGCTGTTTCTTTCGCGACAACACCAGAGTCACTCCCCTCCCTGCCCCTGTCCCTATCTCACTGGCTGATCCCTCTGGGGGCCCAGTGCTTGCACGGTCTTCCACTGTGCTTTCGTGTCCGGCGGTCCCGTCTGGTAAGCTGTCTCGTCTCCACCTCCCCTCGTTCTCTATGAACTTGGTGAGCAACGCCGTCCTTCAGGATCACTGGGTTGACACCTTTACTCCTCGCGGACAGCGTGGGGCGATCTGCACGTGCTCCCGGACCGGCCGTCACCTAGCCACGTTCAAACGTGCGCCTGGGTTCAGTCTGTAGACCCTCACCACTGCGTCACGCTCCACCCCTTTGTCTCCTTAGTTGGACGCGTCCGCTCAGGTAGCTACCCAGTGGGAGTGTCGCAGCCTGACGCACCAGACTCTCTTGTGGCACCGCCGCCTTGGTCACCCCTCCCTGCCTCGCCTTCGTGGCATGCACTCTCGCCGCCTGGTCTCTGGTCTTCCTCGGTCTTTGCCCTCCCTCCCTCCCTCGCCTGTGCCGCCCTGCATTCCTTGCGTCGAGGGGCGGCAGCGCGCCGCTCCTCACTCCTCGTTCCCTCCCATAGAGGCTCCACTGCAGACTCTCCACCTGGACGTGTGGGGCCCAGCCCGCATCCGTGGACAGGGCCACGAGCGGTACTTCCTGATGGTAGTTGACGACTAGACGCGTTACACCACGGTCTTCCCCTTGCAGCGCAAGGGGGAGGTCCCTCATGTTTTGATCCCTTCCGCGCTGTTTGTCTCCAGCTCCACGAGCAGTTCCACTCGGACTTTCCTGTCCTGCATCTGCACTCCGACAGAGGTGGAAAGTTCACCTCCGACCTCTTGCGAGCCTACTGTGAGGAGCACGGCATCCGCCAGAGGTTCACGCTTCGGGCCTCTCCGCGGAAGAATGGGGTTGCTGAGCGCCACATTGGCTTAGTCATGGAGGTCGCTCGTACCTCCATGATCCATGCGGCTGCCCCCCATTTTTTGTGGCCGTTTGCGCTCTACGCGGCGCATCAGCTCAACCTCTAGCCCCGTGTCTCCGTGCCGGAGATTTCGCCCACACTGCGCTGGACGAGGGAGGTTGGCGATGCGTCGTGTTTCCAAGTCTGAGGTGCCCGTGTCTTTGTCCGCAATACCACTGCGGACAAGCTCTCCCTTCGCG